TTGCTCCCTCAAGAAGCTTTTGAAAAAAAACTTATCCCCACTCGTTTCCCCCCCTGATTCCCCTCATCCCCCCCTTTCCACCTTCCCCCTCCCAGCTGCGCCCAAGCTAAACCGCACACCCTGCCCGCACGTCCCCCTGGCTGACATCCTCAGAGCCACCAATGGGTGGGCGGAGGGGCGGAGGGTGGGGGGAGGCAGGTGGAGCGATGTGTACCGGGGGGAATGGGTGGAAGGGGGGGAGGCGGGGTCGCATGGGGGGGAGGATGGGGAGGGAACAGGAGCGAAGAAGCAGGAAGGAGGGGATGTTTCGGGGGGGTCGAAGGGGAAGGGGGAGGGGAGCGAAAAAGATGAAGGGTCACAGGGAAAACGGAAGGGGAGTGACAACGGGGAAGGGTCGCAGGGGAGGCGGAAGGGGAGTGACCAGGGAAAAGGTTCCCAGGAGAAGCAGTTTTCAGGGGGAAGGATGGGGAAGGGGGGGAGGCCGGGGGGACAAGTGGGCAGTGAAGCGCATGAGGGGGGCGCATGGGGCAGAGAGGGCGGAGTTTGAGGCTCATGTGGCGGGCTTGGCTCGCCTTGGCCATCCCAACGTGCTTGCGCTCGTGGGATGGTGTTGCTGCCCTGCAGAGGGGGAGGAGGGGGAGGGGGGGGGGGGGGGGGGGGAGGGAGGGGAAGGGGAAGAATACAGCCGGGGTGAGCGAAGGAAGGGAGGCAAGTGGGGAGGTTGAGGAGGAAGAGGCAGGCGGGGAGGGTGAGGGGAGGGAACGGTTGAGAGGAGAGGGAGAGGGAGCGGTGCAGGAGGGCGGGCAACAGGAGGAGGTGGAGGAGCTGGGTGTGCAAGGGGGAGACGGATGAGCGGGTTTTGGTATATGAGTGGATGGAGCGAGGCAGTTTGGAGGCAGCACTGCAGCCAGGTGAGCACTAAGAGACTTCCATGTGATGTGCTTCATTCACTCACCTTTCTCTTGCTCATCACTCTTTTGACGGGAAATGGCTCCGCCCTTGCTTGGGCAAAGCCGATTTCGCTGTCAGTGGTCGACGTCGACTTTGGGGAGGAAGTCGACAGACTTGGTCGACTTCCGCGGGACCACTGCTATGCCGCCGACGAGGGGAAGTCGGCAGCCAACTTCGGCTTGGGTGTCGACGAAGGAGTTCGTCGACATGCGGGCGCCGACTTGTGGGCGCCGTGGACATTACCTGGTCGACGCAGTTACCTGGTCGATGATGTTCTGCAGGAGTGCACAAACGCTGTCCTAGAAGCATTGGCGAAGTCGACCTGCGAGCTGGTATCCCGAGGTCAACGTGGTGCATCAAGCGTATCTGTCAACACATGGTCCACTTGGCATCTGCGCAATGTGCGGGACGGTGCTTCGACGTGCTCGACCGTCGACCTGCGTGTGCGCACATGCGCATATAGTCACATGCGGTTGCAATGCTGGCAAGTCGCCTTGCTGCAGTGTTGGCAAGCCGCCCTGCTGCAGCGTTGGCAAGCCGCCCTGCTGCAGCGTTGGCAAGCCGCCCTGGTGCAGCGGTGGCAAGCCGCCCTGGTGCAGCGTTAGTAGGTCGTCGACTTGCAGAGTTAGCAGGCCGCTTCCAAGCGGTGTTGACAGGCACCCGACTTGCTGCGCTAGCAAGCCGCCCTAATGCTGCGCTAAAGGTCGACCTGCCTGCTTGCTAGGCTTGCTTGGTCCCAGATGTAGTCTCCCTTGCCATAGCTCTTGCGTCATTGTTCTCAATTTTTGCTAGTGAAATTGGTGTCGTTTCGCCCTGCGAGTACACAAGTGCTAGAGAACACAAGGAGCACTACGATCACTCGTACCGCCCGTACCTCCCCACGTAGTCCAGCTACCCCAGTTTAGAGTGACTCTCCACACACTCAGACTCACTACTCATTTCTCTCTAGTAGCCAACCCATTCTTCTCCACTCTCACAACAGCACCTCACCCCATCGCACTGACCTCTTGCTTTCATCACCACGCCTTGCCATGTCTTCCCAATCACCCACAGTGGCAGGCGCCCGTCCATTGTCGCTACAGCAGCGGGTGGGCATAGCAGTGGGCGTGCTGAGGGCGCTCAAGGCAGTGCAGAGCCATCGGCAAGTGCATGGCGACCTCAAGCCCTCCAACGTGTTGCTAAAAAAAAAAAAAAAAGTTTCTGTGCCACATGCGCATTGTTGTAATGACAGAGCGGTAGCCGATGTGGCCAAAATAATTAAAAACAAAAAAAAGGCACGGATGGAGTTCGCCAGAGCGGTCTCAGAACTTGATAGCGAGCTGATTACAGCACGAAACATTGTGTTGTGTATCCGGTATGGAGCATGTCGTCTATACTGGAAAGTGAATGACTTGATCGTTTAAAGAACTGGCAACGCTATCAAAAGATGAAATTTTTCGAAAGTGTGTAACACTTTCTAAAAATGCGTATTTTGAAAGCGCAGCTGACTGTCACGAAGCAAAGCAATGGCGAATTACAATTCGCCGAGTACATAACGAGGGTTGGAGGCCATTCGGCCTCCACCCACGACTTCATTTCGGAACTTTGCAGTTCCACTCATTCTCGTCCAACCACCTCGAAAGTTTCCTCTGTCACTAGAACTACTTACTACGACTCACCTACAAGCGATCGATTTTCATGAAGGGCAACAATATCACGCGTGCGACTGTACTTAGCGGGCGCTCAACTGAGAGCGAAGTGCGCCGGACGAAACGCCAACAGGCGCGCCAAAGACGAAATCGCCAGTGGCACGCACTAGTGACGAAATTGCCACTGGCGCCAGTGGCTCGCGCTAGGGACGAAATCGCCACTGGCGCCAGTGGCAGGCGATTGGGACGAAATCGCCACTGGCGCAAGTGGCGCGCGCCAGGGACGAAATCGCCACACGCGCGCATGTGGCGAAATTGCCACGTGCGCCAGTGGCGAAATCGCCACTAGCGCGCCATGGACGAAATGGCCGCTGGCGCGGCAGTGACGAAATTGCCACTGCAGCGCCTTAGTCGTTTGACTGGGCGTCATTTGTTGCCTAAGTGCTGCAAGTCATTTTCTTTCAGTTTTATTTTCGTTATGTCCTCTTCGTTTATTTTCTATTAATCTATAAGCTCCTCTTATCCCTTGGTGGCAGAAAATCAGGCCCAACACTACAGTGGTGGAAAGACTTTTATAAAAGGCTCTACTAGTCGCGCGGGGAAATTACATGGACTACAGGATCAAACTGCACGCGCACCCAAGGACGTCTCCCAATAAAAAGAGCGGACAGAGGGTCTCCCCGTGTGGCCTGAGAGCCGTCCCCCAGGGGGGGAAGGGGACCGAGGGTCCCCGTGTGGCCTGAGAGCCGTCCCCCAGGGGGGGAAGGGGACCGAGGGTCCCCGTGTGGCCTGAGAGCCGTCCCCCAGGGGGGGAAGGGGACCGAGGGTCCCCGTGTGGCCTGAGAGCCGTCCCCCAGGGGGGGAAGGGGACCGAAGGTCCCCGTGTGGCCTGAGAGCCGTCCCCCAGGGGGGGAAGGGGACCGAGGGTCCCCGTGTGGCCTGAGAGCTGTCCCCCAGGGGGGAAGGGGACCGAGGGTCCCCGTGTGGCCTGAGAGCCGTCCCCCAGGGGGGGAAGGGGACCGAGGGTCCCCGTGTGGCCTGAGAGCCGTCCCCTAGGGGGGGAAGGGGACCGAGGGTCCCCGTGTGGCCTGAGAGCCGTCCCCCAGGGGGGGAAGGGGACCGAGGGTCCCCGTGTGGCCTGAGAGCCGTCCCCCAAGGGGGGAAGGGGACCGAGGGTCCCCGTGTGGCCTGAGAGCCGTCCCCCAGGGGGGGAAGGGGACCGAGGGTCCCCGTGTGGCCTGAGAGCCGTCCCCTAGGGGGGGAAGGGGACCGAGGGTCCCCGTGTGGCCTGAGAGCCGTCCCTCAGGGGGGGGAAGGGGACCGAGGGTCCCCGTGTGGCCTGAGAGCCGTCCCCCAGGGGGGGAAGGGGACCGAGGGTCCCCGTGTGGCCTGAGAGCCGTCCCCCAGGGGGGGAAGGGGACCGAGGGTCCCCGTGTGGCCTGAGAGCCGTCCCCCAGGGGGGGAAGGGGACCGAGGGTCCCCGTGTGGCCTGAGAGCCGTCCCCCAGGGGGGGAGGGGACCGAGGGTCCCCGTGTGGCCTGAGAGCCGTCCCCCAGGGGGGGAAGGGGACCGAGGGTCCCCGTGTGGCCTGAGAGCCGTCCCCTAGGGGGGGAAGGGGACCGAGGGTCCCCGTGTGGCCTGAGAGCCGTTCCCCAAGGGGGGAAGGGGACCGAGGGTCCCCGTGTGGCCTGAGAGCCGTCCCCCAGGGGGGGAAGGGGACCGAGGGTCCCCGTGTGGCCTGAGAGCCGTCCCCTAGGGGGGGAAGGGGACCGAGGGTCCCCGTGTGGCCTGAGAGCCGTCCCTCAGGGGGGGGAAGGGGACCGAGGGTCCCCGTGTGGCCTGAGAGCCGTCCCCCAGGGGGGGAAGGGGACCGAGGGTCCCCGTGTGGCCTGAGAGCCGCCCCCCAGGGGGGGAAGGGGACCGAGGGTCCCCGTGTGGCCTGAGAGCCGTCGGGACCGAGGGTCCCCATGTTGGGCTTGCCGTAAGATGGGCTGAATTTCGAACAATGTGTGTGCTAGTATGGATCATCCTTCGCTATTGATGTAACCGTATATGATAAGAGTTCAAAAAAAAAAAAAAAAAAAAAAAGGGGCTCAAACATTTTTTGACAAACAAAGGTTGGTTGGTGCCCCATCAATTTCCAGGGAAGCAATTGTTTGGAGTGACCTGGTTACAAATGGTTGGTAGAGTGCAACTCAAGATGGATTTTGAATCTGACTTGACTACGGTTGTTCACACACACTCCTACATCGCATTCAATGTTCTCTCCAAATAAGGGCAATGAGAAAGGGATTGGTTTCCATCATGCTCATCCCACTCTCTTAGATCGCACCCGAGATGGAAATAAAAGCACGGGAGTTGCGACTAGCATGCTACCACAAATTGCGTCTCGTTAAGAACTTGAATGGGCTTTAGGTGTTGGGAGTTAAAGATGGAATTCGTGTGTGAAAAAAAAAAAAAAAGAGTACCTATTTAACCAAAATGACGGACACACCCTCCCGCTACTACCAACTCAGCCCATACATCCACGTTGTAGATAGCCCCGAACCTCAAACGGTTGGAAGCGTAGAGTACAGCAGAGCACATGGTAAATTCCAAGATAAAAGTTGTACCGTCCATTGGGTGTGTAGACCTTGGTTGGGAACCACCAATTGCAACCACTATTCTGCTGCATCAACAAACACGCACATCTACACTAACAGAACGCAACCTTCGCACACACAACATTTCGAACGCCATCGACATAGAGATCGCGATTACCAACGCCACCTCTCTCGGCACTTCGTCAAGGCCATCAATCGCAACTACACTCGCCACGTCTTCAACACCCCAACTGCACATGTCTCAGAAGACCCAATTGTAATGAAGCCCGTTGCCTTTGCAAGAACAGAAAGCAAGCTTTCTCAATATGAAATTTTTCGAAAGTGTGTAACACTTTCTAAAAATGCGTATTTTGAAAGCGCAGCTGACTGTCACGAAGCAAAGCAATGGCGAATTACAATTCGCCGAGTACATAACGAGGGTTGGAGGCCATTCGGCCTCCACCCACGACTTCATTTCGGAACTTTGCAGTTCCACTCCCCACCCACCCACCCTAGTTGTATATCTGTATAATCCATCCATAGTTGGACGAGAATGTTGTATTACTGCAATTGTAATGAAGCCCGTTGCCTTTGCAAGAACAGAAAGCAAGCTTTCTCAATTTAACCAAACATTGGTTAAATAACACCCATGGTCAAGAATCCAAAACTTCTACATACCCTAAACGCCGAGTTTCGGGATGTGAAACAGTGCTATGGTTTTCTCAACCGTGAACTGTTTTTTTTTTATGTTCAAATTTACTATTTTTACTATCTTGATGTTTACCATCACGGCAAGATCTGGATGAACTTGATTTAAAAACTTTTGGTTTTCATGATACGTATTTTTCTTGAAAGCTTGCTACACACACCTGCGACACGTTGAATGTTCGATACACGACAAAACCGAAATTCAAACGTCACGACCAGAACGACGTAACACGAGACTAGCGAAAATCTCTAGAGACTCAACACACGCATTCAACATTTCCAATTGTCATTTCACTCTGTGAACATAGAACATATCTTATCATTTTTCAAAGGTCATGTCATTTTGCACCAATACACGTTCACACACAAGGACAACAAACCAAATGCAAACTATGAGGTTGCACCAACACATTATGTGCATCGACTCAAGAGTCAAGGGCAGGTGCATGGTGACCTTTCAGGCCCTGCAGCGTGCTGCTGGGCCTTTGAGGTGCCGTGCCGTCAACTACAATAGCGAGTGCCGTTGAAAGTCCATGTGCACATGAACATGGGCGGGAGCTTGAAAAGGCAACAAAAATATTTTGTATCCGTTATCACACCCCTCCTTGCCGATTCCTATCGCACCCTCAAACTCCATGTTCATTTTTTATGTACCTCTGATGCTTTCTGCTTCTCCTCCACCTCCTTCCTCCCAGGCACGTGTGGCTGACTGGAGTGTGGTGCGCATGGGGCAGCGTGTGCACGTGGACATGGGCGATGGCTTGGAAGGGCACCGGGAGGGTTCCATGCTAAGTGGGAGTGGGGAAGACAGAGGCAGTGAGGGGAGGAGCAAGGATAGCAGCAGCACGGACAAGAGTAGCAGCAGCAATGACAAAGGTAGCAGCAGCAATGACAAGGGTAGCATCAGCAATGACAAGGGTAGCAGCAACACTGACAATAGCAGCAGTGACAAGAGTGGAAACAGTAACAAGAGTGGCAGCAGTGAGTATTCGTTGGGAACCGGTAGGAGTGGCAGCAGGAGCAGCAGCAGCAGCGGAGGGGAGCAGAAGGTGTATCTGCAGCGGTGCACACAAGGGTATGTGGACCCGGCTGTGCTGCACACCGGCATTGCCACTCTCACCAGTGACATGTACAGGTGGGGCTTTAACGTACCTGCCTCTCCAACCTGCGTTTGCCAGTGTTGACTGCTGCTGCTGCAGCTGTTCTTTCCCTATCCCCCGCCTGTCTGCCCAACCCCCCTGCCAGTGTGGGGATTCTGCTGCTACAGCTGCTCACCTCCCCCCTCCACCACCTCCCCATCCTGCCTGTGTGCCCCATCCTCCCCGCCAGTGTGGGAGTGCTGCTGCTACAGCTGCTCACAGGGTGGGCGGGTCCCTTCAGGGATGTGGATGGGCAGCGCACCCACATCTACCACTGGGTGCGTAAGGATTTGGGAATCAGGGCAAGGTGTGGGATGGCATGGCATGGCAGGCATGGCATGGCATGGCATGGCATGGCATGGCATGGCATGGCATGGCATGGCATGGCATGGCATGGCATGGCATGGCATGGTGTGGGATGGTGTTTCTTGGCTTGATATCGCATCACATGGCATCACATGGCATCACATGGCATCACATGGCATCACATGGCATCACATGGCATCACATGGCATCACATGGCATCACATGGCATCACATGGCATCACATCGCATCACATGGCATCACATCGCATCACATCGCATCACATGGCATCACATGGCATCAAATGGCATGGCATCGCATGGCATGGCATCACATGGCATCACAATGGCATGGCATCACATGGCATGGCATCACATGGCATCACATGGCATCACATGGCATCACATGGCATCACATGGCATCACATGGCATCACATGGCATCACATGGCATGGCATCACATGGCATGGCATCACATGGCATCACATGGCATCACATGGCATCACATGGCATCACATGGCATCACATGGCATCACATGGCATGGCATCACATGGCATGGCATCACATGGCATCACATGGCATGGCATCACATGGCATGGCATCACATGGCATCACATGGCATCACATGGCATCACATGGCATCACATGGCATCACATGGCATCACATGGCATCACATGGCATGGCATCACATGGCATGGCATCACATGGCATCACATGGCATGGCATCACATGGCATCACATGGCATCACATGGCATCACATGGCATGGCATCACATGGCATCACATGGCATCACATGGCATCACATGGCATCACATGGCATCACATGGCATCACATGGCATCACATGGCATCACATGGCATCACATTGCAATCCTCTACCCCCTGCCCCTGCTCGCTCACCTCCTCGTTTGCTCCCCTTTCCCACTTCCTCCTCTCCCCTTTCCTAATTCTCCCTCTTCCCCTCCCCCTGCTTGCTTGCCTTCCCCTGCTCTCCGTCCCCCTGCCCTTCTCTCTCCCTCTCCCCTCCCCCACCCTCAGGCCCAACAACACCTAACAGCCGACGACATCTCTCCTCTCCTCGACCCCCTGTTGCCACAACCTCTGCCCCCTCCCGCTCTCCTCCTCCCCCTCTTCCGCCTCGCCCTCGCCTGCTCCTCCCCCTCCCCCTCCGCCCGCCCCACCCCCTCCTCCGCCCTCACCAATCTCAGGCCCCTCCGCTCCTCCCTGCTGAACTGGGGGCAGTCAGGAGGCAGGGAGGGGGGAGAAAAAGGGGGGGCGGGAGAGTGGGAGGGGGGAGGAAGTGGAGAGGATGAGGTGGGGAGTGTGGGGCGGAGTAGTGCAGGGAGTTGGAGCAGGCTATTCAGGGGGGGAAGTGCGGGGTGGAGTGGTGGCAGTGAGTTGGGTGCACGGCTGGCAATGCTCGGTTCGGAAGATAGTAGGGAGTTTGTGGTGGGAGGTGTTGTCTCGTATCGTGATGTAGACAGGAGCAGGTGATACCCCTGCATGTATCCTGAAAGAGGCACTCTTCCCGTCATGTAAACGGGTCACGGGGAGGCTTTGCTTCTGCACAAAGGGGGAGGTGTTAGCTGTCCAAATCTGAAGGGCAGGTGACACGCATGTGCAAGCATGGTATAAGCAACTGCATAGCAGAGGTCAGGCAGGGTGGGTGTACAGGTATTTCATGGTACCTCTTGTCTATAGGCTCCATCCAGCCTTTTCCACCATATCTGCTGGAATACCGTGTTATAATAATTATTTCAGACATTCCAACACATGCACGCTTGGGCTGTAAAAAGTGGAAGGAGAGTTATGCGAGATGAGGGAGGGGGTGGGGTGGGAGTGGGGGGACCAGGGCTGGGATGGCCAGAGGAACGGTAGTGAGGAGGGGGGTGATGAATGACTGGGATAGAAAGGGGAATGTAGGGGTCTTTGGCTGCAAGGAAGGGCGAGTGGGGCGAGCCTTAGGTGGTCGTTGAGAAACGCGTGGCAGATGCAGACTAGAGGCTTGGGACTAGGCTGATTTAGGGCACCCAGTCCGCTCAGGGGGCCTGGAAGTTCTAAATATTTGCTTTGGAAATATTATATATGTGATACAGTGATCGCAGCAGGGTATGGTGATAGAGTAAAGCCTTGGAAACCGGAGAAAGCAAATAACTTCACTCGATACTAATTGTGGGCCTGGTCAAGCTACACAATATACAAAACAGCCAGCCATTGGGCTAGTGAAGCATTCACAAGCATGGCACCACAAAGGAGCAGCCGCTGACACAAGCAGCAGCAACTCAGCCATTCAATGCAACGTATAAAAACCTGTAAAATCTAAGGTAACCCTGACGCACCGGGTACAACCAATATCAATACATACAACATTACTAGTACTGCACACGCTCTCGCTCACAGCTTAGTGGGTTGAACTGCAAGCACCATTCTCACCGAGTGCCCTTTACCATCGGCCCACGTTAGGCTTCCAAACTGGAAGTCCTCAGCAGTCTTAGTCACCTTGAAGGTCACCGTGAAGTTAACCTTTCCATCCTTAGCAATGGTGAATTTGTTGGGTGAAACTGTAACATCCACGCCCTTGGGAGGCTTGATGGTGGCTGTGAATGTGGCAGACGCATCAAGAACACTTGTCACGGTTCTCGTAGCTGACAGCGTCCCTTTCAAGCGTGAGATAGAGATGCTTGGACGATTCAACTCGCGGGGAGGAATCGCGGTGAGATTAGCGCCCGGAAACTCCTTCTGCGCCCGCTTCATACTCTGCCCGGCAAGAAAATTCCGATACGCACCTGCCCGAGCGTCAAACGTGAGCCCAGGATCCAGAACCTTGGCTGGGAGCACTTGACCAGCGCCCATGTCCCACGGAGTAGCAACCTCGCCGTAAGCAGTCTTGATGGCAGCGCTGCTGGTGTCAGTGGTCTTGGCGGTGGTCATAATGGCGGACATGACCTGCGCGGGGCTCCACTTGGGGCGCTTTTGCATGATGAGAGCAGCAATGCCCGCCAAGTGAGGCGTCGCCATCGACGTCCCCGACAGCTGGGAATAAGTCCCCGGCTTCCCGACCTTCTCGGCGGGCCAAGCGGCATAGAGATCCACGCCTGGGCCGACAATGTCGGGCTTTAAGATGCTGTTGGTGGGGAGAGCGCCGGTGACATCGAAGGTAGGGTCTGTGAGGGGTCCTGTGGAGGAGAATTCGGCGATGGATGGGTAGGCTGTGGCTGCTGGGGTGACTGAGGATGAGGATGAGTTGCTGAGAGCTGCTGTTGCTACTGTGGCGGCCTTGAGGGTTAGACCGCCTCGGCCTATGGTGCTGCCAGGAGGAAGAGGGCGGTGGGAGGAGGGAGAGTGACGAAGGAAATGTGAGTGAGCAGCGAGAAACAGTGCAAGCAGGAGAGGTGGCACGGATGGGGGTCAAGCAGGGAGGTTAGAAGGGCAGAGAATCTGCCATTCCCACCTGGCCGCCACAGGAAAAAAAGCTGTGTTTTGAGACGTCTCAAAACTGAATCTGCCATTTTCACCTGGCCCCGACGGTGAGGTAGAACGGCGAGAAGTTGTCGAGTGTGCGGCCCGAGAAGGAGCTATACGGGCCAGCATTGCCCGCCGCATACGACACAAACACCCCCGCGAGATTCGCCGCGAGATACGGCATATGCGAGAAGTAGGTGTCCGTTGGATCGTTGCCGCCCAGCGAGAGCGAGAGCACATCCACACCGTCCGCTACCGCCTGGTTGACGGCGGCTTCGATGTCGGCGGATACGGCAAAGAGGGAGCCCGCGGAGAACCAGAAGACCTTGTACATTGCCACGCGCGCTGCTGGCGCCATGCCGCTCGCCTTGCCCCCCGCCATGGGCACATCCTTGTTGCCCGCTGCCGCGCTGCAGAGAGGGAGGGAGGGGATGAGGGAGGTGGGGAGGGGGAAGGGTAGGTGTGGGTGGGGAGGTGAGAGTGGAAGAGACAGGAGGTAAGTGGAGTCACCATAACAGGCTGAAGCATGGCACCTCACAAGCAGAGAGAGGCTTATGATAAACAACCCACATGACGCAAAAGCCACGTACCCTGCACACCACGTGCCGTGGCCATATGAATCGCGGGGCGACAGCCAATCATTGGACAGGTCTGGCCCGCCATTGTCCGCCTTAAAGCCCTTGTAAAACGCCCGTGCGCCAACGAGCTTATTATTGCATTTGAACTCGCTCGTCGTGTCGCATTTCCCCGACCACCCGGCGGGTTTTGAGGAGGAGAACCCGGCATCGCTGAAGGAGGGGTGTTCCGGCCAGATGCCCGTGTCCACCACGCCGATCACCATGCCCTTGCCCGCGCTCGCCTGCCCGCCATTGGCGGGCCACAGAGACCCGGGGGCGCGCATGCCCAGGAAGGTGGGCGAGTCGGTGGTGAGAGGGGTCACTCTGCGGCTGCGCGTCACTGCTGCCACTGCCGGGTGCCGCTGCAGCTGCTGCACTTGTTGCGGGGAGAGGGACGCTGCAAACCCGTTGCTCGCGTGCATGTATCTGGGGTAATTGGGAGAGGGGGAGCGGCGGAGGCGAGCAGAGGAAAGTGGGGGGGAAGACGAGACAGTTAAGCGGGAGATGAGGGAAGGGATGTGGAATGAAGAGGCCGAGGAGGCTTCGCGGCAGGTGGGGGTTATGTGGGTGAGCACTGTTGCTGGGGGAGAGAGAGGGGGGGAAGGGAGGAGTGGCGGCGAGTGGGGTGCAGGAGGGGTGAGAACACGGGGGATGGGGAGGGGAAGGAGGGTCTGGGGTACGGTATGGGCGGGGTCGGGTTGGGTGCGGTGGGTGATGTGGGGAGCCATGGAATGGGGCTGAGAATCCACTGCTCCCCAGCAACCTGGAGCAAAGGCTCTCAAACACGCAGTGAGGGTGCTGGTTCGTTCGGAGCCCATTCGTCTCGTCACGATGCGAACCCGTTCTCGCGCTCGGGTTGAGGGAGCGGGTGAGCAGAGGAGGTTGGGGGAAGGGATGGGGAAAGTGGAGGGGAGGGAGGCTTTGGGGTGCGGAATTAGAGGCGGTGGGTATGGTGGGCGAAGAGAGAGGGGAGCCATGGAATGGGGCTGAAATTCCACTGCTAGAAAAGGAACCCGTAACGGAGGCTCAAACACGTGGGGTGCTGCCAGCAGTGCTGGTTTGACTCGCTTGACTCGTCTGACTGGTTTGACTCGTTTGACTCGTTTGACTGGTTTGTTTGAGTCCCACTCGTCCGACGCTCTTCCCCCCACGTACTTGTACACTATGCGGTCTGACGTCACGCCCACGTCAGCCGCGATTCGGATTTGCTGCGTCTCGAGCGTCTGCGCGTACGCCTTGAGCTGCGGGTTCTCCATGCTCAGCCGCGCGCGCCGCGGAATGCTGCCGGCAAGCGTCGCCTCCTCCTGCGCCACCGTCGCGGCCGTCGCGCGCAGACCTGACGGACCGGCAGCATTGTCGTCGTCGTCCGTCCATCCCGAAAAGCTCGCGATTCCGCCGCGATACGCGGCGAGGGGGAGGGCGGAGCGCAGGCGGACGATATAGAGCGACGAGGACTTGGGGGTGGACGCTGCGATCGGCGGAGCAAGGAGGTGTGGGGGAGCGGAGGAGGGGAGAGGGGGAACGCGGAAGGGAACGAAGGACGCGATAATGAGACGCAGGCGAGAACGGAACGAGGGTTGTGGGACGGAGGAGACTAGCTCCATTGATGAATGCGACCAGCTGACTCAAAACTAGGTCAATGACTGGGGTTAGGCATGAGAGAACAGAACGAAGTGACGTGGCTTACCTCGTCGAACGGCGAAGCCGCATTGACACGTGGACGAGAGGAGAAGCGCGATGGCGAGGAGAAATATGGCGGGGCCCGACATTGTGGCAAGATGCGGACTCGGAGGTTGAAGTTGTGGACGTCGAGAGGTCAGGCCGGGAAGATGCGGAGCCTCAGCTAGTGCTTTGGCGACTCGGAGTGCTTGCAGGGAACGCTATCAAACAGATTCCTTAGTCACTGAACGGTTTAAGTTGGCTGTCGAGCGCGTGAAAAAGGCTACACTGACGTAAATTGAAGTAGATTTAACAGTGGCGAGCGAAGAAGGCCAGAATGCCGCTTTGCAAGTTAGTCAGGAAGTGGGGTAAGGAGAGGCGAGTGCAGCATTAGGATGCGAGATGCTATCTGAACAATACGGATTCTGAAGACAGTGGGTGTGGGTGGGACAAAGTTGGCAATCAGAGATGAACCGAAATGATGCGCTCAACTGCCGAACGCGTTACTTCTTTTACAGCCTGACAAGAAAGCTGGAGCATTGAAACCCGGGAAGCAGCCGAGGCGCGAGGCGGCGTTCGAAGACCTTTCCTGGAATTCGCAAATCCTCGGTGAGATGCGTTTGACTGAGCGAAACTGTGTGGTAACTTCGACACCATTCAGCAGAGCTTCGCAGCCCGGCGTGGCGTGGCGTGTGTGTGTTGGAACGGGGTTGACCTGGTCTTTCACCTGGGGCTGAAGGGGGCTGAGGTTTGGTTGGGGCTGAAGGGGGAAAGGTTTGGGTTTGGGATACAGCGAGGAATTTTGTTTCGCCCATTGAGTAGGCAGACAAAAGGGTAGTTGAAGGGGCTACACGTGTAAGAGATTGGCAACAAGGAGTGGATTGGTTGGGGGAGCTGTCACCTGGGGTGTTGCAATAGTCGGTGGTGGGGAGGAGACAGGTGGTTCAGGGAGGGTAGTGGGTGTGAGAACCGCAAGTGAAAACATACCAATCGGGCTGGAGGTACAGTACATGGTGGAAAAAGTGTTCGAAATAAATATCGGGGAAAAAGGTATACGTGATGACAAGGCAGGGAATCCCCCCCCCTTCCACCCCTCTCCCCCTCCCCCCTGGGACAATCGTTCCGCCCTCCATGAACTGACCCACCATGCAACTTCGCCGTGGTCGTGTCATCTGCTGAGCTGACTGTCGCTGCATTGCCGCCATGTTCATATTTTCAGCGCGGTCCCTCCAAATCCAGGTTTTCCGCCTGCGGTGCTGAAATCGTCTGTAGCACTACAAATAAAATAGCATGCGCCTACTCGTGAAATACCAATTTCATTACATTCTACTACTAAGAATTCTGTTGCCTTCTCTACAGTTACAAATTCATTACAATTTACATATAAGAATTATGCCGCATTCCCAGTCTACGATAAGACTGACGGCTGTACCGAAAGCACAGACCTTACCGAGTGCCCCTTGCCGTCTGTCCATGTAATGCTCCCAAATTGGAAGTTCTCGTACACTCTAATAACCTTCAGGTTTATTCTATACGCCACCCTTGCTCCTGGTTGTATAGAGAAGCTCTTGGGAGTCACGGTCACGGAGACCCCAGCAGGAGCCACAACAGAAGCCGTATAAGTCGATGCAGACGCTGCCACATTTGTAACGGTCCGTTTGACCACCACAGACCCTCGCAACCGTGCAACTGCGATGCTCGCCCGGTTAAGATTTCGAGGAGCAATGGGCGATAAATTAGCCCCGGGAAACTCCATCTGAGCCGTGGAAAGGCTCATCCCGGCGAGAAAATTCCGGTAGTGGGCCTGCCTGGCATCATATGTGAGCCCCGGGTCGAGAACCTTAGGCGGGAACACATGCCCTGCACCGATCTCCCACGGCGTTGCCACCGACCCGTATGCGTTCTTGATAGCGGTCCCTGCCATATTGGTGGTTATGGCGGTGGTCATAATGGCCGACATGACCTGCGCGGGGCTCCACTTGGGATATTTCTGCATCATGAGAGCAGCAATGCCCGCCAAGTGAGGCGTCGCCATCGACGTCCCCGACAGCTGCGCGTAGCTCCCCTTATCACCAACGTCAGAGCCGACCCACGCAGAGAAGAGGGAGACCCCCGGGCCGATGATGTCGGGCTTTAAGATGGCGTTGGTGGCCTGTGCGCCTTGGGAGACGGTCCACGGGCGGACGAGAGGGCCGGAGGAGGAGAATGAGGCGACGACAGGGGCGGTGGCGGCGGCGGTGCGGCGGGGAGATGTGGCAGCTGCGGTGGGCTTGCTTTGGGTGGCGGTGGATTTGGCGGTGGGGGAGGGTGTTGTTGATGGGGTGGATTGCGTTGTGCTGGTGGAAGGGAAGGGAGGGACGGCGTGGAGGGGGAATGGGGAGGGCATGAGGGGTCAGCTGGACAAAAGCTGAAGGGTGGGGGTAGAAGCATTGTGGGTGTTATTGCAGGACAACGCATGAGATGAGAGCGACACAGGTGCTGTGAGGTGGCGTGAGGTGCACTCCCACCGCTGTGCAAGACAGCATACCTAGAGTGATTTGAAGCGCCCACAGCAGCTTTGCCCGCAGAAGCAGCCTTCTTGGTTGGTGCCCGTCTGGCGAGTGACACACCTCCTCGTTGAATGGTGCTGCACATGCAAGGAGGGGCGGGGGGAAAGAGAGCCCGCACAATCAGGCAGGGTGTTTCTTATAGTTGCAACAACCGGCACTGGAACAAGCGGGCAGGGTGCCCCCTAGTAGAGGAGCTGAGAAAGAAGCACAAGAAGCAGGTGGATTGGCGGGGACCACAGGAAGCAGAAAATAGTACCTAGCCCCGACCGTGAGGTAAAAGTGAGAAAAGCTACTGCAGAAGTAAAAACAGTAGGTCACTGTGAGGGAGAGAGAGAGAGAGCAAAGATGGTGGCTGCTACATACCTAGCCCCCACGGTGAGGTAGAAAGGAGAGAAGTTGCTGATAGTGCGATACTTGCTGAAGCTGCTACTCCCACTCGGCTTCCCCGAATTCCCCGCCGCAAACGCCACAAAAACTCCCGCCGTGTTGGCATTCAGAAATGGAATATCGTCAAAGTAAGTCGCGTCAGCGCTGCCCCCGCCCAGGGAGAGGGAGAGCACGTCCACGCCGTCCGCTACAGCCTGGTTGGTGGCGGCGATAATGTCAGCCTCTGTAGCAAACTGGTCGCCATAGCTGGTCCAGAAGACTTTGTAGACCGCCAGGCGCGCTGCTGGCGCCATGCCTGAGGCTGTTCCTGCTTGGCCGAATGACACGCCGCTGTTGCCTGCTGCGGCTCTGATAGGGAGGGGTGCAAAAGTGGGGGATGGTGGAGTTAGCAGGGAGGGGAGGACGGATGAGTTGCTGAGGGAAGGAGAGGGGCGATTGGGGAAAGGTGTGGAGGCCGGGAAGATGCAGAGGCAGAGCAGAGGCAGAGGGGGTGTTGGCTTGGGCCAGGTGTCGAATCACTCACCCCGCACACCAGGTGCCGTGGCCAGCAGCATCGCGAGGGGAGAGCCAGTCGTACGTCAGGTCGGGGCTGCCATTCTCGCTCTGAAAGCCGGCCACAAAGTAGCGCGCGCCGATGAGCTTGTTGCCGCACGCGGGGAAGTCGGCCGTCTTTTGGCACTTGCCCGCCCATCCCGCTGGCCGTGCTGCTTTGAAGCCCTGCAGTGGGGGGAATTGGGGGGGATGAACGGGCGGGGGAGAGGCGGAAAGGGATGGGGGAGGGATGAGAGGAGGATGGGGGGACGGGAGGGAGGAAGGGGGGGAAGGTGGGGTGGGGGCAAGGAGGAGGGGTTGAGTGAGTAACTAGGAGTTGGGCAATGATGGGATAGGGCGATCGTCGGATACGGATTGAACGCACTGGCAAGACTCGCTGGTCCCATCCCCATCACTCTCACCACCACCACATCCACCACCATCAATATCCCCCTCCCACGCACCGCTCCGCTGAACGACGCGTGCTCCGGCCACACGCCCGTGTCCACGATCCCAATCACCATCCCCGCGCCCGCGTTGCTCCGCCCGCCCACGGCGGGCCACACGCTGCTCGGCAATCCCAAGAACGTCGCGGACGCTGTCGTCAGCTTGCGGAACACGCGGCTGCGGCGAACTGACGCGACGGACGGATGGCGCTTTAATCTCCGCAGCTGCGCGGGCGTGAGCGGCGCCGCGAACCCGTTAGTGGTCTGGCGGAAGTTGTAGAGGACTTGCCCCGCCGCGATCTCCGCGTCCGCCGCGACTTGCGCCTGCTGCCGCTGCAGCAGCTGCGCGAATGCCGTCACGTGCGCCGCGCGCATGTTGATGCGCGGACGCTGGTTCCCCCCCGCCGCGGCGGCGGAGGCGGCGGCAGCGGTGACGCCAGCGGACGCTGCTGTTGCGAAGGGTCCGGTAGAAACGTTCACGCTAGCGACGGTTGCGGCGGCAGTTGCGGTGACAGTTGCGGTGATGGTTTCGGCGGCAGTCGCGGCGGCAGTGACGGCGGCATTGGCGGACGTGGCGATAAGCCCGTCAGACGAGCCGTTGTCGTCGCCGTCGTCGTCGGGGTCATCGGCCCACACGGCCGTGGCGGGGTATCCGGGAATCCCGCCGCGATACGCGGTGAGCGGAGGCGCGGAGCGGAGACGGACGATGTAAAGCGGATTCCCGGCTGAAGCCACTGCAAATTCGTGAAGGGAGGGCGGGAATGGGGGGGGGAGGGGGAAGTAGGGGGGGAGAGTGAGAAGCGGGGCGGGAGTGGGGGGTTCTCAAAAGTCCGACGCGCATGGCCGCACATGAGGGCGTCGTGCGAACGATCGCACTTGCGACGTGTGAGGGCTGCGGTGACGGCACGCTAATGAGTGGTTGCACGACGTTGCGAACGTTTTTCTAATAGAGGGCCGTGCTCATACCTAATGACCCATGGCTATACCTTGAACAGAGTGAGATTGGGCGATCCATATTATTCCGAGAAACAACGCCAAGTATCGCAGTCTTAGAACGCTCATTGAGAAGATGTGAACCGAGAATGGAATCCTGATTAGCTTGAGTCGGAGAAACTGGGGTATGTCAGAAGAATCTGCGAGTGCGAACGAACGCTCGATCTTGTATCAACTAACATCCAGATACTCGAAGAATTGGCAGAGGGACACCTGGCTTTTATGCAATTTATGTAAGGGGCACAGAACAGACTTGCGAATGCGAGACGTGTACGAGTGTGTCAACTGATGGCGAAGTCCAAGCGGGGAGACCAGTCAGTTTACCAGTCGTAACTCACGCTGGGGTTGGTGGCGAAGGTGCCATGGAAAATGGGAAGGGGTAATCGGTTGGACGAGCCGCAGGGGCGAGATTTGGGGCAAGGGAGTTTGTGGCGGCGAGATGGGATGTGTTTTTTGCTCCGATGGAGGAATTGGTGGACGGTGCGAGTGCAAGTGGAATCAGCCAGGATTTGGGTAGATGGATGACCTGACCAACTGTAGGTATTTCAATATTCCACGATTTTTGTTCGACTTGAATATTATTTGCCCAAGCATGGACCACAAGAAGAGGACTTCAGCATGAAATTCTACCCATGGAAAACGATGACCGTCAGGAACGTCGGCTGACCGAAAATCAAAACGCTCTGCGCCACCTCCAGACCTGGGCGGACAAGCGGACAAACTCCAAGCCAGACAAGCCCCTCCCCACCGCGGTCTGCCCACCGAGCGGCGCGCGTGGAACAGCGCCGTCAAAGGAGAAGTGTTCATGGGCAGAGACTGTCGTCACTTCTTTGAGATCGACAGCTAGCGAACAGTCCAACCAATTGCGAGGAAGTGAATACCATCGTGAACACAGCTGGCAGGGCTTCGTTCTTGCTACGACGCTCGCCCCACACAACAAATCTTTCCCACGCCCAAGGGAAGGAAGGGGTTTCTGGTGTAACCACCGACATGCAGCGACTAGTCAACACGTTTCTTGTTACCCTTGGAAATTCGCCCACACTCGCAATCCCCGCTGAAAAAGTCTAGTGTGTAATACTGCAAGGAAAGTCCATTTTCCTTACTTCGCGTCCCTGCTCAGCGCGTACACCCTTGTTCCCGCCAACAGCACCCCACAATATTCCACTACCACTCTCGACATTCGCCTCGACACCATTCCCGCCACTGTTCAAGATGCGACCCAACCTCACGGTTCGGTTGGTAACCCGCGCTCCGGACCTCGGCCTCGACAGTCCCCCAACCTCGGCACCAGGCCCGTCGCGCACCCCATTTTTCACACGTTACCGTTACCACTGTAGCTTCGATATATATTCTTCGCTCAATCCTTCGCTCATTGTATCTTGTTTCGATAGTGCAATCCTCGCTCGCTCACTCAATTGCACTCGTAACAAATACCAAACCATGGATCCTCAATTCAGCACTATATTGTTATGTGTCTTACTAAGTAGGTTCAGTAATAATAAACCATTTTGTGAATGCTCAGTGTGAGACCAATGCCCCCCTGTTCATTAGGGAACAAACAGCATTGCGTTTAAACTGAACTTCCATACACAAGAACCTGACCAATCCAAAAGGGACACGTACATACAAGCACCCAAACCCTACAGTCACTCCAAATAACATCATCTATTCTTGGTTTGCATCCCTCCCACATATCCTATAACCTGCATCAAACTTCAACCCCAAGCACAACCGCCCCCCACCCTGCCCATCCCTCATCCCCTCAATACTCTTGCCGTCCATCGCCCTCCGTGATAATATCCTTGAAAGTGCGGCCGCCCGGAATCATGGGCAGCACGTGCTCTTGGTGAGGCACGATGATATCCAGCAGGTAAGGCCCTTCTGCTGCCAGCATGCGCTCTATGGCCCCCCGGAGGTCCGCCTTGCGCGAGACGCGCTCCGAGGGCACCTTGCAGGCCTCGGCGAATTTGGTGAAGTCGGGGAAGATCTCGTCCTCATTGTCTGGGAGACCCAGGAAGGTGTGCGCACGGTTGGCCTGCAGGGAGGGGAGGCGGGGAGTAATGTGGGGTTGTGGGGGAAATGATGAAAAGCTGCTCTATGTTGAAGATCTCGTCCTCATTGCCTGGCAGGCCCAGGATGGCCTGGGGCGGATGGGAGGGTGGTGGATGGGGTGGTGGTGGAATGTCTGTGGTTAAGCAGCCCTAGGAAGGTGCGGGCACGGTTAGCACGGCAACAGGGAACGGGTGCCCAAGGTAGGACGGGATGTGAGGAGTGTGAAGGAGGAGGCAGGGGAAGAGCACCTGCTCCTGTGATCATGGTTCCAGGTGCACAGAATGCATGTACTAGAGCGTGTGTGGGCAAGCATGCTTCTCAGTCTTGCATTCACTGGAACCAGCATAGCATTCACACACCATCACATCCCATGCCATTCCTTGAATGAAATACCTTCCATTGTCGGCTCCTATACGTCCCACATTCATGTACCATCCATAGCAAACCATTCCTTTAACGACTCACAATGCCCCCACCCCTCCCCACCCCTCCTCACCTTGTAGAACCGATCCTCCCACTGCACCACCATCCCCAGGTGCTGGTTATTCAAAATCATGATCTTCACCGGAAGCTTCTCGGCCGTAATCGTCGCGAGCTCCTGAACATTCATAATGAACGACCCATCGCCATCAATATCAATAACGGGCAGCCCCGGCTCGCTGGCGATGGCGCCTAGAGCGGATGGGAGGCCGAAGCCCATGGAGCCGAGGCCGCCCGAGGTGATCCAGCGGCGCGGCTGCTGGTACTTGAAGAACTGGGCCGCCCACATCTGGTGCTGCCCCACCCCTGTGGCGATTACTGCTTCTCCCTTGGTGATCTCGTACAGCATCTCGATCGCCTCCTGGGGGAGGATCGCTTCTTCCACCTGATGTAATCATGGCAAGGCAGGGAGACGAGGGAGAAGGGAACGGAGATGGGAGAGGGAAGGGGAAGGGGGGTCAGAGGTTGAGAGTGATACAGAGCCCGCCTGAGGTGATCCAGCGGCGCGGCTGCTGGTACTTGGTGATCTGGTGATCACCAAGAACTGCGCCGCCCACATCTGGTGCTGCCCCACTCCTGTCGCGATTACTGCTTCTCCCTTGGTGATCTCGTACAGCATCTCCATCGCCTCCTGGGGGAGAATCGCCTCCTCCACCTAAAAGGATTGGGAGAGAGCGAGGGAGGGGGAGGGAGCGGAGTGAGTAAGGGTGTGAGTGATGACGGCCTCGCCCTTGGTGATCTCGTACAGCGTCTCTATCGCCTCCTGGGGGAGCATGGCCTCCTCCACCTGATGGTAATGATCGTGGTATGGCAGGGGGCATAGGAGAGAGGGGACAGGAGGGGTGTGAGCAGGTGGGGTGGTCATTGCTATCTCGCCCTTGGTGATCTCGTACAGCATCTCAATCGCCTCCTGGGGGAGGATTGCCTCCTCCACCTGATGATGGTGGTGACGGCACGGCAGGGAGGTCGATTTGGGGGACGAGGGAGAGGAGGGAGACGGACGGGGAGAAGGGGTGAGAAGGCGGGGGCAAGCAGCACAGGTGTTGCCGGTGAGGTAGAGCAGAGTGCAGCGTTTTTCCACATTGCGTGGCATCTAAGGCCGATCAATAGCAAGGCTTGTTATGGTGCAGTCACCACGCATTCTCGTGCTCTCATACGCGCATGCCCGCATGCATGCATGCACATGGGCATGCGCATTCTGTGAGTTAGATCTTCAGCCATGATTGGTAACCACTGCTGTTGCAGTGGTTGGTTGGTTGGCACTCTGTAAAATGACCACACATCCGGATTCCAAGGCCAACCACTGCCATTGCCATTGTCGGATTCCCCAAATAATGGGAGCATCTGGGCGGCCAATTCTCCTTTTCCGCCATCCCATTCCATATCCAGGCGGCTCACAAGGCTTCCTTTCCCCCACCTTAACCCACTGCCATTGCCACGCCCTTCCCAACCTACCTGGGGGTACTTGAGCGGCCACTTCTCCTTCTGCGCCATGCACTCCTCGCGCCACTCCGCGTACGACGGCAGCGGGCGGCCGTCCGCCACCTCCTCCTTGATGGCGGCGTTGAGCAGCGCGAGCGCGGGGCGCGTGTCGGCGTGCATGCTGACGTGCGCCTCCTTGTTCTTCCCGATCTCCGCCGGGTCGATATCGATGTGGACTATGCTGGCGCGTGCTGCGAAGGCCTGGGGAAGGGGGGAAGGGAGAAACAGATGAGAAAGAGCGTCGGCGTGCATGCAGACGTGCGCCTCCTTGTTCTTCCCGATCTCCGCCGGGTCGATGTCGATGTGCACTATGCTGGCGCGCGCCGCGAACGCCTGGGAGGGGGGGGGGGAGGGGGGGGGAGGAGGTAGGGGGGGAAGAGAAGGAGGCGGGGGGAATGAGGTGGGAAGATGGCGGAAAGGAGATAGAGCACATGGATAAATCCAAGGAGATTAAACATGAAAAAAGAACCCTAATGTGCTTCTCGGACGGGGAGGGAGGGAGTGGAGAGGGGAATGATTGAGAACACCGTTCCCACAGCAGTCACATGGGAATGACCCATTCCACAACCCGCGGATCGCAACAGTGAGGGGGGGCGGGGGAGGGAAAGGGAAGGGGTGGGGCGTGACCCGGAAGACTGAGGAGGTGACTCACGTCGAGCTTGCCAGTGACGCGGTCGTCGAAGCGCACGCCGAAGGCGAGCAGCAGATCCGACGAGTCGACGGCGTAGTTGGCGTACACCGTGCCGTGCATGCCCAGCATGTGCAGCGCATCCGGCGCTGACTGATCGTACACGCCCAGACCCATCAGCGTGGAAACCACCGGGACTCCCGCCAGGCGCGCGAATTCGCGGACCTCGTCCGCCGCGTGCAGGCAGCCTCCGCCGAGGTAGACCACAGGGCGCTTGGCGGAGCGCAGCAGGCGGAGGATCTGGTCCACCTGCGCGCGCTGCGGCGGCGGCGGCAGGCGCGAGAGGTAGGCGTTGAGCCGCATGGGCTGGTTCCACGACGGCACGGCGAGCGTCTGCTGCACGTCCTTGGGCACGTCGATCAGCACGGGGCCGGGCCGGCCGGACGCTGCCAGGAAGAACGCCTCGCGCACTGGCATTGGGGGAAGCGGGGAACGAGGCACACAACGAGAGATACGGGGACTGGATGAGACGGAAAGGTCGTTAAAGTTGGGGCAGGCGGATATGGCATGAATGCGGGGTGCTGGTTAGTAATAGCGTCAACTTTCAGTTATTTTGGAAAACACGCGGTTGTTGTAAGGCGGTTCTTGCACCGAATCCGTTTCCACGTACGAATGCGGGAGCAACACACGCATTTGGTTCGACGCGGAACGCGGGCGTGCGAGCAACAAGGTAGTTGTGCTTCGTGATCGACCGCGTCACCTCCACGATCGGCGTCGTGTGAGTTGACTCGCGTTGACTCGCGTTGACTCACGGGCGTGCGACACTCACCAACGCGCGGGATATCATCGACGTCCATGACGAGGTAGTTGTGCTTCGTAATGGACCGCGTCACCTCCACCAGGACTCGCATTGACTCACGTTGACTCGAATCTCGAGTTGACTCATTGGAGAAAAAAACTCACCGATGCGCGGAATATCGTCAACGTCCATGACGAGGTAGTTGTGCTTCGTGATGGACCGCGTCACCTCCACAATCGGCGTCTCCTGAAACGCGTCCGTCCCAATGAACGGCCGCGGCACCTGGCCGGTAATCGCAACGAGCGGCACGGAGTCGAGCATCGCGTCGGCCAATCCCGTCACGAGGTTCGTCGCGCCGGGCCCCGACGTCGCGATGCACACGCCGACGCGCCCCGAGACCTTGGCGTAGCCCTCGGCGGCGAACACCTCGCCCTGCTCGTGCCGGCACAGGATCGTGCGGATGTTCGGCGACCGCGTCAGCGCCTGTCGCGGTGATGGGTTCCAGGTGGGAGGGGAACAGACGAGCGGTTAGAGAGACGAGTTTTCAGACGCCTCAGAACCAGATGTTGCGCGAGCGGGTTAACGTTTGCTGGAATAAGAATTCGAAAGCAATGACCGTGTGAGGACACAGAAGCGCGGTGATTAGGAATTCGGCGACTTTTGTTGCCGACAAGTGTTGCCTTTGACAGATTCAGGTCTCGCTTCAGGCAGACCTCACAAGAAGACGGTAGGAGTGCCAACGCAGGAGTCACGCAGGGTAACTTATTTACAAGAAGCATCATAAGGTAGAATTTGGAAAGAGACGATACCTGGTGAATCTCGAGGGACGCGCCGCCAGGGTAAGCGAAGAGCGTTCGCACGCCCTCCCTCTCGAGGGCCTCCACGAGAATGTCGCAGCCCTTGCGCGGCTCGTTGTCGCCGTAGCGCGACACGAAGTCTTTAGGAGTGGGCGGCACGAGCGACTTGCCGCTGCTCACGCGCTGGCTCTGCAGCGCCAAGTCCGCATCCTGCGACACGGCGGGGCGGCTCGCAACGTTCGTCTTGGCACCCTCGGCGGGCGCCTCCGCGCGCACGGCTTGCGAGCGGCGTCGGCATGCCGCGTTGGAAGTGTGGCGAATGGAAGCGCCGAAGAATGCGGCTTTGGTGTTGACGGCGGTGTTCTTCTGGACGATGCCGGTAGCCTCCACGGTGGTCAGACGCGACGACACGGCAGAGAGCTCCAAGGCAGCCATGCTCGCTCAATCAGGGAACAACGGACAATCCTAACGAGGGTTTTGTTCAGGTTTTGAGCTTAGAAACGCGTTCGCGTCGTAGCTGCTGTGATGAGGAGGCTAGCAGATGCTCAAGATAACTTCACGTATAAACTATCTAGGGTTGTTCGTAAAGCACACAGGTGGGACAAGAGAAAGAGAGCTTTGAGAGGAAGGGCATGCATCTTATTGCATTCCCAGAGGTTGACGAGGATGTGCTTGTAACGAGTGCGGCCCTTGGCCGTGGCAAGGGCCCCTTCTACTGGATTTGAGTGCGCGCGCGTCCTCCAGCTAGGCAGCTGGGAGCCGACGTGGACGAGGCGGCCGAATCCGCCTTCAAGAAATTTGCTGGGTATCCAAGGAGAGAGGAATAGGCAGGCTTGCCTGTCCATGTCAGAATGCTTTTGAAAGATACCTGTCCGTCATCCAACGGCAGTGCCATCGCTCACGTGCAAGGTTCCAGCGTGGAAAAGCCGAAAATGAATCTCCGGCTCCCCCTGCTGACGTTCGGGGCCAGCTACAGCAGCGAAATTATGAAGGTGAACATACTGTACAGAAAATGCAAAACACATGCATTCCGAATGATATCCGACGCAAAGTCCTCACAACTGAATATATGACTCAATATAAAGTGTTCGGAGAAATCTCGATTGCTGCTATCGAAGTACGGGTATAGCAAGTATCCAGCGTAAAACAATCTTCCCCACAACCCCACCCCACCTCCCTCACCCAGCATAAGAGCCACACGCCCTCCCTATTTCCTCCTTTCGCGTTCTTTCTTTTTAATTGCTAAACCCCTCAGCAAGCGGTCGGTTTTCCGGCGTCTGTCTCGGGGGAGCGCTCAATCGTCAATTTAAGACAAGTAAGAACGTCCGCATGATCTTCTAGTAGCATGCAAGCAATCAATCCAACTAGTGCGATTTTCCGCTATGTGATCGACTGATTAAAGCCCGGCAGCGGATGCCGATCGACAGCCAAGATTAGCGTGCCGACCAGCAATACCATGCTGTCTCTTTTGTCGTTTCGTCCAGGTCAGCAAAGCAAGGCATCATGGCAGGCGTGCCGCCGCCCGTGAAGTCCGCCAAGGCGGGGTTGGAGGAGACCCCCGTGGAGCAGCAGGTGCAGAACATCCGCATCACGCTCAGCTGCATGAACAACGTCAAGAGCCTCGAGAAGGGTTAGTTCTTACCCAAACTTGTGAATTCGTGCCTGCTGCCTGCTGCGTGCGGCCGCTGGGCGTGCTGTTGTGGGAATTGCGCGAGTGCTGTCGTCCCTGTGTGCGACCAGAAGCACTCTTATGATTTTTTTTTCGTGCCGACTTCTTTGCATTTCATCGACTCGATATCTCATCGTTGGCAAGCCTGAGTCTGCTATTGACGCGGTTTCGGGTTTAGCCCTCTGCGATAGGCTGTTCGCGCCACAGCAGCCACGGCGGTGCGCCACGGTCATGAGTGTGACGACATTTCATGGCTGCGACTGTTTTCAAGCTCTGTTCTTTCGCTCGTTTATTTCACCTGCTCACCTGCTCCATCCTCTGTTCTCTTTCCTTTCTCCCCCTTTCTCTTCTTTCCTTTTCCTCTTCTCGTTCCCGTCTCTTCGTCTCCCCACCCTCCCCCCTCCCAATCCTTGGCGTTTCTGCGCGCAGTGTGCGCGGACCTGGTGCGCGGAGCCAAGGAGAAGCGCCTCAAGGTCAAGGGCCCCGTGCGCATGCCCACCAAGGTGCTCCGCCACACCACGCGCAAGTCGCCTTGCGGCAACGGTAAGTTGAGGGGGAAAGGGTTGGTGCGCTGGTTAGAGTCAGTGTGAGTCGAGTTGAAAGGTGGGCACAGGCGCATGCCTTCGCCACACCACGCGCAAGTCACCTTGCGGCAACGGTGAATCGGGGGGCGCTGCGCTGGTTTGAAGTTCACGCGAGTGTGAAACGAGGCGAGATTGCGTGTACGTGCGGGGCTGATTCGCAAGTGCGCGAGCCACGTCTCTGTCACACCACATGCTCGCCTGGTCATACCGTCCCCCTAGTTCTCTATCTCCGTGAGGTGCGCCAATTCCCGCCACTCCCCTGCCGCCTCCATCGCCCATCAATCCTCCCTTGCGCTCGCGCTCTCTATGTTTCCCCTCCCGATATCTTCGTCCTCCTTCCCCTTCCCGTCTCCCCCCTTTTCGTTTCCTTGGATACACGTGCGACACGTTGCTGCGCGTGCACAAGCGCATGATCGACCTGGTGAGCCCCAATGCCCTTCAACACCCTCCAACACCCCCTGTTCTTTCCCATTCCCCCCTCTCCCCTCCCCTTCCCAGGTACCAACACGTGGGACACGTTTGAGCTGCGCGTGCACAAGCGCGTGATCGACCTGGTGAGCCCATCGGAGGTGGTGAAGCAAATCACGTCCATCAGCATCGAGCCGGGCGTCGAGGTCGAGGTCACCGTCACCAGCGCTTAAAGCCCCTGCACGCTGCCAGTAGCATGAACAAATGCCCGCACGTCATCGTCAACGCTTAACCTGCTTCTGCTGCTGGTTGTGTGATGTGCTTTTGCTAGTGGAGAGAAAGGTGGTGATCTTGCTGTGCATTCTATCTGTAAATGAAATGATCACTGCGCAGTCTGGTGCTTGTCTCAGTGCGTACTTAGCAAGGTTAGGAAAGCAAGCACATGTGATCAACCTGGTGAGCCCATCGGAGGTGGTGGAAGCAAATCACGCCATCAGCATTGAACCTGACGTCGGGATCTAGGTCACCGTCACGACTCACCAGCGCTTATCGTCTTCACTGCTCACTGCAAAGGGGGGGTGTGATCGGGGAACAAGTTACCAACACCAGGGGATGGTCAGCATACCAGCTGCACACTGCCAGGGTTGATGGCACCAGCATAGCCTGGCCAGAGCAGGAGTCAAGACCCATGCTCCTTTTCATATCCACTAAGTGCACTGAGGGCAAGGAAAGACATATATATATATATATATATATGTATGTATGTGTGTGTGTAAAAAGATAGAAGCAGAATACCGCTGAGCTGTATTGTAGTACCGTATTACATGTACACGGAACTTGTTCTGAATAGTGTCATCCTAGGCTACACTGACAGATTTCACCTGCTCCGGTCTACACAACAAGACATTTACAGATAGCACCTCCCTGTCTACACCATAGACTCGCTACTATCCTCTGCTGCACCCACTAATGGCAGCCTTGTATTGTCAGCACTCTCAGCACCCTCAGAACTTTCCCCAATGGACACCCCACTCCATTCCCCCCCACTCTTCCCCCTCCCTCCCTCTTCATTCTCCCCTCCATCATCTCTCCTTCCTCCCCCTCCCCCCTCTCCCTTTTCCCCCTTCCCCCCCCCCTCCCCCTTTCCCTTTTCCCCATTTTCACCCCCAATTCCCCTTCCAGATTGGGACCCCTCGAGCAGGGAGGTGCGAACAAGCCGAACAACATCGAGTGCAGATACGGGGGTGGGGCGGGCGGACTGGGAGGGGGAGGAGCAGGCGAGGGCGAGGTGGAAGAGGGGGAGGAGGGTGGCGGGAGGGGGCGGGGGGTGTGGCAGCAGGGGGTCGAGGAGAGGAGAGATGTCGCCGGATTCTGCATGCTGCCGGGCCTGAGGGTGGGGAAAGAGGGGGGGCCAAGGGTAGGGAAAGAGGATGGGGAGGTGGGCAGGGAGAAGGGGGGAGCGGGAGGAGGGGAGGTGGGGAATGGGAAGGGGGTAGTGGGAAGAGGGGGAGGTGGGTCTATGCCATTCCATGCCTGCCATGCCATGCCATCCCACACCTTGCCCTGATTCCCAAATCCTTACGCACCCAGTGGTAGATGTGGGTGCGCTGCCCATCCACATCCCTGAAGGGACCCGCCCACCCTGTGAGCAGCTGTAGCAGCAGCACTCCCACACTGGCGAACACAGGGCGGAATCGAATGGGGAGGGTGAAAGGGACGGAGATGGGGAGAGGGAGGGGAGAAGGGAGGTGGAGAGGTGGAGGAGACAGGTTGGAGAGGAGGGAGATGTGGAATGATGGTGACATGCTGATGTGGAGCGATGGCAACATGCTGATGTGGAGCGATGGCAAGGCAACCACTCCACAGTAAAACGAGTTCAATTCCAAGAGGACAGGCAGGAAGATTAAAGGAATACCTGTGTAAGTACGGTATATAAGTCACTGATCAAAGCCTACTCTGCACATGTCAGTGTATGTCTCAATGGGTTGCATGCCAATCCTATAACTTCTTTTTTGCCCCTTGCAGCAAGCTCGATGGGCGGAATCGTTTGTCTGTTGAAATGAAGTAACCTGATTGAAGCCCTACTTGTACGTGTCACTTAAAGCCCCACCTGTACATGTCACAGATTAACTCCTTACCTGTATATGTCACTGATTAAAGCCCCACCTGCACTGGTGGATGGGATTAAAGCCCCACCTGTACATGTCACTGGTGGGAGAGGCAATGCCGGTGCGCACCACAGCCGGGTCCACATGTCCCTCAGTGCACCGCAACAAATACACCTTCTGCTCGCCTCCGCTGCTGCTGCTGATGCTGCTGCCACTCCGACCGGACCCCCATGAATACCCACTGTTGCCACCAATCTTGCCACTGCTGCTGCTGCTGCTGGTGCCTTTCTCTCCACTGGGCAAGGAAAATTTCCTTGCCAACCCTTTGTTGCCAAAGCCTTTCCGGTGCCCTTCCAAGCCATTGTCTCCCATGTCCACATGCACGCGCTGCCCCATGCACACCACGCTCCAGTCAACCACTCGCGCCTGGGAGAGGGGCAGGGAATACATGGAGGACAGGCAGGGAGGGGGAGGACGGGGAGTGAAATGTGGAAAGGGTGTATTTTCTTCTCAAAATGCACGCACCTATATCTGAGTCACATTTATATATTTCATCAAGCAGCGGCGATATCTGAGTCACTTTTGAGTATTCTCAAAAGGCACGCACCTATACCCAAGCCATTTTTGAAGATTCTAAAAATTGCACCCACCGATATTTAACTCACTCTTGAGAACTCTCAACGGACACGTACCTATCCACGAGTCACTTTTGAGAATTCCGATAAGGCACGCACCTCAAAGGAAGGGCTGAGCAGAACGTTGGAGGGTTTGAGGTCGCCATGCACCTGCCCGTGGCTCTGCACTGCCTTGAGCGCCAGTAGCACCCCCACTGCCACGTCCACCCGCTGCTGCAGCGACAAGGGCGTGGCGCCTGGAAGAGCAGGTGGAGATGGATGGACATGACAAGAGGTTGGTGCAATGGGGCAGGCGTGAGGTGCTGTTGTGAGACTAGGCAGGAGAGGATGGGCTCTGCACTGCCTTGAGCGCCAGTAGCCCCCCCACTGCCACGTCCACCCGCTGCTGCAGCGACAACGGGGTGGAGCCTGCCAGTGCGGGTGATTGGGATGGGGGAAGCAAGAGAGAAGTAAGAGGCCCGTGGCTCTGCACTGCCTTCAGCACCAGCAGCCCCCCCACTGTTATGTCCACCCGCTGCTGCAGCGACAACGGGGTGGCGCCTGGCGGTGCGGGTGTGGGGATGCATGGACACGGCACGCGGTAGGTACGATGGAGCAGGCGTGAGGTGCCCTTATAAAAGCGGAGAGGATGGGCTGGGTGCAAGGCGAGTGGTGAGGGCGAGAAGTGCAAGGCGAGTGGTGAGGGCGAGTGGTGAGGGCGAGTGGTGAGGGCGAGTGGTGAGTTCAGCTTGTTGCTAATTGGCATCACAGGGCTTATGGTGCACACCTGGCTGCAGTGCTGACTTTTGAGTCGACTCAAAAGTCACCTAAATTGGCATCACATGCCTTATGGTGCACACCTGGCTGCAGTGCTGCCTGCAAGCTGCCCCGCTCCATCCACTTATACACCAACACTAGCTCACTCCCCCCTTCCTGCCCCCTCGCCTCCTCCCCCTCCCCCTCCCCCTCCTCCCCCTCTACAGGCCAGCAGCACCAGCCCACAAGCACCAGCACGTTGGGGTGCACAAGGCAAGCCAGGCCCGCCACATGAGCCTCAAGCTCCGCGCTCTCTGCCCCATGCGCCCCCCTCCTCATGCGCTTCACGGCCCACTGCTCCCCTCCCGCTTGCCCTGTGAACCTCCCCCCTTGCCGCTTCCCTCCCGTTGCCCCTGAGAACCTCCCCCCTTGCCGCTTCCCTCCCGTTGCCCCTGAGAACCTCCCCCCTTGCTGCTCCCCTCCCGCTTGCCCTGTGAACCTCCCCCCTTGCCGCTTCCCTCCCGCTGCCCCTGAGAATCCCCCTGCACTTCTCCCCCTTGCTGCTTCTTCTTTCCTCTTCCCCCCCCATTCTTCCCCCCATCCTCCCCCCCATGCTTCTCCCCATCCCCCGCTTCCGCCTCCTCCACCCATTCCCCCCGGTACACGTCACTCCACCTGCCTCCCCCCACCCTTCGCTCCTCCGCCCACCCATTCGTGGCTCTAAGGATGTCAGCCAGGGGGATGTGAGGGCAGGCGGGTGTGCGCTTTAGCAGAGGTGTGGCTGGAAGGGGAAAGGGGGAAAGGGTGGGAAAAAGGAAAACAGGAGGGGGGAAGGTAAGGGAGGATGAGTGAGAAAGGGGCAGAGAAAAGCTTTGTTTCTTGCTTCGCATTTTTGTTACTTTGTTTCTGTGTTTTCCTTGAAACTTGCTGATAAAGGGGTGTTGACGAGAGGAGAAGAAGGTAGGGGAATGAGGAAGAGAGCAAAACGCCCCACGCACTCGCACCACGTTCCCAACCATGCACACCACATGCCAACACATTCAATTAAAAGCCTCAACCAGCATGCCACCATGCAATAATGTATTCATGCCATGTGCACTCAATATCCCCCCTTCCTCTCCCCTCCCCACTCACTCGAATCCTCCCCCGTCTGCTCCCTCCCCTTACTCCACCTCCACACCCCCCATCCCACCGCCGCCACCATCAGAAGCAGCAGCACCACTGCACCCGCTACTATTCCCGCAATCGCAGACGGTGGGAGGGAGGAGGGCGGAGGGGGAGGAGAGGCGAGGAGGACGGTGACGATGGGGGGAGGAGGCGGGGGGGAGGAAGATGGCAGAGGGGGAGGAGGGGAAGGGGGAGGCGGACTGGAGATTGGTGCTGGCAGGGGACGGGTGGGGTTGGGATGGGGTAAACAGGGGATGGGGGAATCAGGAGATGGGGGAATCAGGGGATGGGGGAATCAGGGGATGGGTGGGCGGACGGGATGTGATGGAAATTGAGAATGGAAGGGAAGGCTGGGAGAATTGGCATGAAATGGCAGGGAAGGTTAGGAGGAAGGTTGGGAAGAAACGGCGGGGAGTGCTGGAGGGCAGATTCGCGGAGCAACAACGTGAGAGATACATAGTAGCGTAGTTAAGTCGACTAGAAAATGGGGGAGCATGGCAGGGGCATGTGAATGGTGTGATGTGATCGTTCGTAGCAGTGCTAGGTACATGATCGGGTGATCCTGACCGTTGATCGAGATGCACGAGGAGCAGAACGATGAGCAGAGCTTGCAAAACTTGGATGAACGGTTCTGATTGATTTCACAGCTGCTGTTGTCCATTGGGCAAGTTAACCCGATAGACTGACTGAGAGAGAGCAGGGGCAGGTGGAGGATACACGGGCCGGATGGGGAAAAAGACACGAGGAGTAGAATATTCAATGTAAATGCGTAAATATAAGTGATATTTACCAGTGGCCTACCTTGTATGTGCTTCTCTATACTGAACTCATTTTAAGCGTCCTTCAAGAGAGGAATATGAATAAGGTAAGTTAATGTCTAGATCTTTACAAATTCTCAGACATATAAAAGCGATAGTGAGCTGGAATGAGACAATTGCGAAAAAGAGGTGAAGAAGAGGGTTAAGGAGAAAAAGAGGGTTGCAGGGGGATGATGATAAGAAGGGGAGGCAAACACACAAGGAGCCAAGTTTCAAGGTTCCATAAGCGGCGGGCATGGTTGAGTTGATCTTCGTGCTAAGCACGCTACTGAATGGGATGGGGTTTGGGAAACGGAGAAAGCACGGGACAGAGATGGGGGGGGAGAGGGAGATGTGGAAGGATAGGCAATGGCAGAACAGGAGGCAAGGCGTGGGTTGATTGAGGTAACACTCGTTGGGTGAATAGGTTGGAAGGGATGACAGGCGGTTGAAATGACATGGACTAGAGACGGAAGAAACGGCACAAAGGGTGCAGAGAGGCAGAGAGAGGTGCACGGAGGGACAGAGAGAGGGGGACGGAGGAACAGAGAGAGGGGGACGGAGGGACAGAGAGAGGGGGACGGAGGGTGGGGAGGTATGCAGAGGGTGGGGAGAGGCGCACAAGGTGGTGAGACGCGTGAGGGCCGTGAGGAAGCGAGGCGGCTCGCCTGAAATGTTTGTGTCGCTCAGCGTGCTGGAGGGGGGTGTGGAGTGGGGATGGGGGGAGGATAAGGGAGGGGAGATGATGGGTAAAGGAGGGGAGAAGATGAAACGAGGGGAGAAGGGAGATGAGGCGTGGAAAGATGAGAGAATCAGAAGGCATTGTTGCAGGATAGGCAGTGGCAAGGGATGGGACATGAGCCTGTGTGCGGGCGGGGCGACAGCGAGGAGAGGGGAAGAGACACAGAGAGTTGATCGTGACAGAGAGTTGGGAGGAAGAGGAGGAGAAGGAGAGGAGAGGGGAACAAGAGAACGGAGGGCCAGCAGCAGAGGCGGACGAGGGTGAGGTGCATGAATGGAAGCAGGGGGAGTAATGGGAGGATGCAGGGAGAGGAGTGGACAGGTGTAGCAGGGGGGAGGAGAAGGAGTGGGGGCTGGGGGAAGAGGGGGGGGGGGGGGGTGTCTTGCTGACAGATGCCCTAGGGTGGTGAGGCGAGAGAGGGTGCGAGGCAGGGAGCCCGAGAGGAGGGGGTTGTCATCCAGCGACCTGCCGTGCATGCAGTGTGGGTGGCAGTGGTGGGCAGCGGGGATGGAACTATTTGTTTGGAGCCATGCTCTTGGATTCAGCCCTCTCCCTCTGCACCAATGCTGCTAGCCCACGATCAGCAGAGCAGCAGAGGGGCAGAGGAACAGAGGGGCAGAGCAACAGAGGGGCAGAGGAACAAAAAAGAAAGGAAGAGGGAAGGTTGCGTGTGCAACTGACAGCTCCGTGAGGCGGGAGAGGGCAGAGATGGTGCTGGGGATGCTTCCTGAGATGTTGTTGCTGGTCGCGTAGCTGATGGTGCAAACAAGTGCCATACACGCATGCAAGCATGTTGCAAGCACGTTGCAAGCATGCAAGGATGCAAGCATGCAAGGATGCAAGCATGCAAGCATTGCAAGCACGCACATACAAGGGACATGTGCAAGTCACCTTTGAAAATTCTCAAACGAGACACGAGCATTGCCTGAGGCGTAGATGATGGTACCAGTGCAGCACACACGCACGCACGCACGCACGCACGCACGCACGCACGGACACACACACGCACATACATACAAGGGGCAGTATATATATGCGCAAGCAACGCGATGAGAGGGGGAGTAAGGAGGTTGCTGTGATGGTATGGAAGGCAAGCGACAATGCGAGGCATGAGGGGAGGGGGTACGTTGAAGGATACAAAAGAAAGCACGGAACACATGGATTGTGATTGTGACTTGCAGTCAACTTGCAGTCAACTTGCAGTCAACTCGCAGTCAACTCGCAGTCAGCTTGCAACAGAGAAGCTTGCAAGGCCGCAGGGACATGCTACTACATCAAAGCACTACATGTAGTGCAGGGAAGAGAGGCGTGCGTTACAGCAATTCAAGAGAGGAGAGGCCGGTGATGTCATTGAGCAGGGGGCCCGAGAGGCCCGTCGATGAGATGCGTCTGTGGGGTGGGGGGGAAGGATGGGTGGGGACGGAGGGGGTGGTGTGTCGTGGGGTGGGATGCAATGGGATGGGATGGTTGGGATGTGTTGAGATGGTATGACATGGCATGGCATGGCATGGCATGGCATGGCATGGCATGGCATGGCATGGCTTGGCATGGCATGGCTTGGCATGAGGTCTGCACCGAAACAGGTGGAGGGTAGAGAGAGGAGAGGGTGGGAATAGGAGAGGGTGGGGAGAGGAGAGGGTGGGGAGAGGAGGGGCTTACAGGTTTGCGAGGGCGGTGAGGCGGAAGAAGGCTGGTGGCAGCGGCCCGAGTAAGTCATTATTATTCATATCACTGCGGGGAAGAGAGCCGGGAGAAATATTGTCATTGATATTCGTTTCACTGCACGGACTCGATTCGAGAGGCGCTGTGCGAGCTAATATGGGGGATGTTGTGGTGATGGTGAATGAGAGAGGGAGGACGGAGGGCGATGGAGGAGACAGAGGGAAGTGCTGTGGTGATGGTGGTGGAATGTCCGAGGGTGGTTGAATGCTGGAGGAGGGGGAGGGGGGCGGGAGATAGGGGCGGGAGAGAAGTGATTGGCATGGGAGGGAAGGCAAGGAGGTGGCATGGAAGGGGCAGGTCCCCTGAAAGGAAGGTGGGCAGAAAAAGGGGGTGCAGGAAGGGAGTGAGAGGCGAGGGCGAGGGACTGACAGAGACGAGAGATTCTGCAGGCGCGAAACTGTGAGTGGAATGGGTCCCGTGAAGCTGTTGGAATCAATCTCGCTGGGGGGTGGTGGGGGAAAAAGGGGAGAGATCGTGGAGCATATGCGAGCGTGGAAGAGAGGTAGGTGGTGAGATGAGAGGAACGTGGAGAGGGTAAGGTGTAGGGAGGAAATCAGAGACGGATTGGTGGGGACGAGATGGAAGGAGGAGCAGACGGGAGAAGGGGAAAGAAGGAGGGCACAGAGGAGGAGGAGGAGGAGGAGGAGGAGGAGGAGGAGGAGGAGGAGGAGGAGGAGGAGGAGGAGGAGGAGGAGGAGGAGGAGGAGGAGGAGGAGGAGGAGGGGAGGAGAGTATGTTGCAGGCAATGCAATGTATGATGGGCCCAATGGCGGGAAGCCGGCCCGTGACGAGCAGTGCAATGGGTGAGAGGGAAGGGAGTTGGAGATTGTGGTGGGTGGTTACAGTTGGACGAGTGATGGCATGCGCGCAATGACGGTGAAGATTTGAGACGTCTCAAAACTATATTACTTTCACGCGGATTTTATACGGAGAAATTGTTTGTTGCTTGGAAGGCTGGGTGTAACTTGCAAAAGTTACTTGTTCGCGCGAGGCTCCCGAAGCTACAGTTGGCGAAGATTGAGAATTCCACGTTACGCCTCGAGGAATGAAGACCCGAGCCCCGTGGTTTTTCCAGGGTGCTCTGGATTGGCTGCCCAGATTTCAGCCACGGTTATTTCGCGCCTAGATTTCTGGTTTTCTCGAAGCGTAGTTCTTACTTAAGGGCTTCGTTCCCACTCTTGTTTTTCATTCCGCTAGCGCTGATGAAGGTTTGACTTGGGGCCTGTCCCAGTCGACCGAAACATGTTCGCGTTTTAATCCTATAGTGGAATAAGAGTTCAGATTTCAGATTCTTGGATGTTTACAGGGCCAAACTTTTACTACCAGACTGCAGCTCGCCTAAACAAAGCTTCTATGGCTGACGGTTCTTGGGGTCTCCCAAATTCTACGGGTGACGCCGGTCTGGTGAAATCGAGTTTCGCACTAGTTCCCCGTGGAGCAGAGCCTTTCCCGAAGACCTACACGGGTTACAACCGCGCTAACAAGCGTTCCCGAAAGGTTGAAGGAGTTCCTGTGCTTCCTGCGACACTTCAAGAGGACTTCGAGCACAACAAGCAAGCTGAAAATCCTCCCGCCATGGCTGAGATGGAAGTTCAGAACGACGGAGTTACGGATGCGAATCCTGCTACTTCTGTCAACCCGATCACCGTCGATACGTCCTTCACTATTCCGGAACCTTTTAAAGGTTGGACTACGACGACCGTCAGGGGCTTCAGAACTGATTTCAAAGCACTCCTCAAGGCGAAGTCGAAACTGAAAAAGATGAAGACGCTCAACGACCAAGGTGTGATTTTGCACAGCATTCGCACCAAGGCCGTGGAATTTCAGACCAAGTACCCTTCCACACGGGAAAAGTCTGCTGCGTCCGTCACCTCGGTTCATTTTGAGAACCAGAAGCGCATTCAGGCCGACTTCATTGCGTCTAAGGAGCTGGAGGTCGAGGAAATTCTGTCGGCATCCTCCTCACACCTCACCACTCTGGCGACTAAGCTCGAAGACTACATTCAAGGCCTCACTGCTGACCCAGAGCTAGACATGAGCACAAGGGCGAACACCTGTTCGGTTCGCCTCGAACGTGTTCGAGGCGAACCGAACAGGTTTGTTTTTTTTGCTTAAATTGTTCGCCGAACAGTGTTCGATGTTCGCCCGAACACGTTCGTGTTCGGGCCGCTGCTGCAATTTGCCCCGCGACGAACACGAACGTGTTCGAGGTTCGCCCGAACATGCCTTCATAGGCGAACGGCGAACACGTGTTTTTGCTTTAAAGTGTTCGCCGAACCGAACAGTGTTCGGTTCGGCAAACGGATGTGTTCGTCTAGGGGCGAACACGAACATGTTCGTGTTCGCCCCTTGCTCATCCCTACCCGGAGCTAACCGTATCTGATGCGGCTAGGGAACGATACCGGAAGATCAAGGGTGTCTGCATCGAACGGGCCAAGTCGAAGATCGCGCTCGCCAAGGACGATATTATCATCCGGGAGTTGGAGAGGCAGAGGATCAAGGAAGCCGATGATTTGAAGAAAGCAGCCGCCGCCGAAGAGATGGACCACCTGGAAACGGACCTGGCGATCAACGAGCTCGTTCTACAAGCTACTAAGAAGTACGCGGAGATGATGCGCAAGGAGATTACGGCGAGCGTCGAAGCAAAGCTGACTGCGAAGTTTAAGAAGAGCTTGTCGATGGGATCGCAGGATTCCAAGCCGGCCTCCTCGACCTCGAAGCCTAAGGCGGACCCGTCCAAGGTCCGGAAATCTTCCGGCGCCAAGGCAGATGTACCGAAGGCGGCGAGGAAACGCGGGAAAGGAAAAAAGAATGTGAAATCTTCAGGCGACGGCGGGAGAAGAACCGACAAGCTACCTCGACGAAGGTTCAAGTTCCAAAAAACGGCGGCGGCGGCCCAGGAAAAGGGCCGCGCAAGAACTAACTGCTCGGGACATTGCACTCCGCCGATTCGGACGACTGACTGTACGACAAGCGCAGTCGCGCGTTCGGAATCGGGGGGTGCACAACCTGAGCGCAAAGGTTTTGTCTCACGACGAAACTAAGGCGCTCGGGATGGGGTTGAAGTTCATACCTACGCCAACCTGGAACTTTTCCATCGAAGCAGACCTGCATCAACTGCATCGACAGATCTCCCTCGAATTTTTCTTCAAGGATAAAGGGTCATCGTCTTCATCCCGTTTCCGGGTGAAGAATCCTAACTGGTGGCCCGAACGGGACGTGGTCCCGGAGCAAGTCTTCAAGGAGGCGCAAGCCGACCTATCTTTCCTGCTGAAGGCGTGTAGGCCCATGCGCGGGCAGAACCTATCACGGAGTGCGCGCATGGCGATACGCTCCCTGTCACTCAACGGCAGCATCGTCATTAAGCCGACTGACAAGAACATCGGAATCACCGTCATGGACAGACAGCACTACATTGCTTTGTGCATGGAGCATTTGAACGACGAAGCTGTCTGCCGTCCTGTCCGTCACGATCCGAGTCCGATAGTTCTGCAGCAGCTGATGGAGCTGAAAGCGACATGGGGACCTGCTTTTCCAGACAGTCTTTGGAAATACCTTTTCGATAAACCGCCAGGAGGGTGGCGCCCAGCGGCATTCTACATTCTTCCGAAACTCCATAAGAAAGTACCTGTGGGGCGACCGATCGCTGCTTCACACTCATGGGTAACTACTAATGCGAGTCGTTGGCTGGATTCGCAACTAAGACCGCTAGTCCTAAAACGAGCCACCTACCTGCGCGATTCTCTCTCACTGCTAGCGAAGCTGGAGACTACAGCCTTTCCGCCTGACATTCTCCTAGCAACGTACGACGTGACCTCGCTCTACCCCAGCATAGCTATAGATCGAGGACTCGACGCGGTTAGCAGTTTCCTGACGAGAGACAACACACAGCTTTCTCAACCGCTTATGGCTCTACTGGGTTGGGTCATGAGGAACTCCTACGTAGAGTTCGACGGCGAAGTGTTTCATCAAGTGCAGGGCACTGCAATGGGAACTCCTGTAGCAGTGTGTTTTGCCATACTCTTCATGAGTCGTCTCGATGAGCTGTTAAAGGAGAGATGGACCGGGATGTCACCTTGTTACCACGTCCGTTACATCGATGATGGCCTTATCATTTGGCCAGGGTCGCGGTCAGAATTAGAGGAGTACCTGCGCACCTTCAACGGCTTGGATCCGAATATTAGGATCACGTGGAGCATCTCGGAGCGTTCGGTTGATTTTTTGGACATGGTTCTCCACATAGGGCCGCGTTTTACTGAGCGTGGTATCCTAGACTTCGGTACTTTTCAGAAGCCGATGAATAGGTACCTCTATCTCCCCTTCTCCTCCTTCCACCCACGGCACGGCAAGGAGAGTTTCATCCGCGCCGAACTGAAGCGTTACCTGCTACGCTCGACCTCGGTGTCAACTTTCCTAGCAACGAAACGCGCTTTCTTCCAACGCCTTCGTGATCGTGGTTACCCCCCTGTTTTCCTTCGACCGATCTTCAAGGGCGTCCTATTCGCACATCGTGCACCACTCCTCGCCGACACTCTCGCGAACCAGCTTTTGCGACAAACCTCTCTCCCCTCTACACGCGGACCCCTAGTCTTGAAGACGACCTACACACCTGTGTCGGCTCGACTCGGGCTAGGGGTAGTTTTGAGACGTCTCAAAACTAGATTACTCTCACGCGGATTTTATACGGAGAAATTGTTTGATGCTTGGAAGGCTGGGTGTAACTTGCAAAAGTTACTTGTTCGCGCGAGGCTCCTGAAGCTACAGTTGGCGAAGATTGAGAATTCCACGTTACGCCTCGAGGAATGAAGACCCGAGCCCCGCGGTTTTTCCAGGGTGCTCTGGATTGGCTGCCCAGATTTCAGCCACAGTTATTTCGCGCCTAGATTTCTGGTTTTCTCGAAGCGTAGTTCTTACTTAAGGGCTTCGTTCCCACTCTTGTTTTTCATTCCGCTAGCGCTGATGAAGGTTTGACTTGGGGCCTGTCCCAGTCGACCGAAACATGTTCGCGTTTTAATCCTATAGTGGAATAAGAGTTCAGATTTCAGATTCTTGGTTGTTTACAGGGCCAAACTTTTACTACTGTCTATCACTTGCTAAAGATTTCTACCAGACTGCAGCTCGCCTAAACAAAGCTTCTATTGTGGTGGGTGGTTACAGTTGGACGAGTGATGGCATGCGCGCAATGACGGTGAAGATTGGACCCGTGAGGTTGTTGTTGCTGCTCAGCCTCCTGCATGCATGAATGCACACATGCACACATGCACACATGCACACATGCACACATGCGCACATGCACACATGCACACATGCACACATGCACACATGCACACATGCGCACATGCACACATGCACACATGCACACATGCGCACATGCGCACATGCACACATGCACACATGCGCACATGCACACATGCACACATGCGCACATGCACACATGCACACATGCGCACATGCACACATGCACACATGCGCACATGCGCACATGCACACATGCGCACATGCACACATGCACACATGCACACATGCGCACGCACCCACACACCCACCCACACACACACACACACACACACACACACACACACACTTGCACAGATGCGGGGATGCACATCGACAGCCATGCACACAAACACAAAAACATGCACGAACGTGTTAACACACACACAGGGTCACATGGCACACGGCACACGGCACAGTGGCTGCTGCCACTTTCACAGCCCTGGCGTCTCAAGCAGCCCTCGTCGTCCCCCTAGGCGCACATAACCTGCGACGCCCACATGCTTGTCACGTGCACATGCTTGTCACGTGCACATCCATCGGGGCGGTGCGCCTCACAGGGGGCGCAATTAAGTGCGCCTCTCACTCTCAGTGCGCCTCACAGGGGGCGCAATTAAGTGCGCCTCTCAGTCCGCATCTCAGTGGGCCTTACAGAGAGGTCAGCAGGCGGAGGGCGGAGAGGGCGGAGGGCACAGGGCCGGAGAGACTGTTGGACTGCAGATCCCTGGCGGAACACGGGGGGGGGTGGGAAGGGGGAGGGGGAGGGATGGGAGGGTGGAAGGGGAATGGAACGTGAAGGGGGATGGGGGGACGGTGACGCGGTGGGAGATGTGATGGGTGACTTGGGGAGAGAGCGGAGGAAGGGCAGGTGGAGGCAGCGCGAAGCAATTCACAAGTGCTGGCCCGGCCCGCGTGTAATGAGTCGTGTTTTGAGTCGACTCACAAGTGCTGGCCTGGCCCGGGGCGACTCACAGCGAGTGCAGGCAAGAGAGCGGAGGAAGGGCAGGTGGAAGCAGCGCGAGGCGACTCACAAGTGATGGCCCCGCCCGGGGCGACTTACAGCGATTTGAGGTGGGAGAGCGCGGTGAGGGCGAGGGGGATGGAGCCATTGAGTTGCTTTGAATTCAGGTGCCTGCCCGGTGCGCAGACAAGTGATGGGGAGGTTGGGGAGGAGGGGAGGGGCAGACAGCGAGGGAGCAATGATGCGGGTGGCGCGATGGATGGGCATGATGGATGGATGAAGCATGCGAGGTGAGAGTGGCATGCTCCGTGGTGACAAGCCATGCATACATGGTCCCCTCATCGCCCCCCACCCCCCCATCCGCTTCCCCATGCTTCCCCAAGCGCTTCCCCCGCGCGCTACCATCGCTCGGGGCACTGACAGTTCTGTGACCATGCCGTCCTTGTCGCACAGGATAGGCTCCGCCTGCGCGCAGTCCGCGCCTTGCGCCCACTCCGCCGTGCTCATCCCCCACTCCGCCGCGCACTCCTTCAGCGCCGCCGCTGCGCGCCCATTGCGGGGGAAATCGAGGGCGGAAAGGCGAGACCGACAGCAGGAATACGGGATTTGAGAGGAGGAGCGGGAGAGGGGTCCCTCGGAGGGAGAGGGAGAAGGAGAGAAGAGTAGGTACGCGAGAATGGCGGCAGGGTATTATAGGAGGCGCATAATGCAGCGAAAAAGTTCGCGGAGAATGCGCGGCTTGCTGAACGAAAGAGGCAGGAAGGCTCCACTCCATGGCGAAGCGGTGCTGCGTTGGACGCAGCTACGAAGCACAGCTGAATCGCCGTGGCGCTTAGGCTACAACAGCGTTAGAACTTGCTCGTGCGAGAATGAATATGAGGGCTTAGTATTGAAGAATACGACTTATATAACGCCACGTGCCATCCCAGTACACCAGTGGGCCGTAGCGGTTGCCTTTTCGCCCTTCGTGTAAGCCCGCAGGCGTTACAGCTTATGAGAAGGGCGAAAGAAGTCGCCACTAGGTTTCGTCACGCGGCATAGCGCGCATTGGGAGTGGGCGAGTGGAACTATCACTGGGGGACTGAAAAAAGGCACTCCTTAGCTCGCTGTGGTTCGAACCCTAAAGATTCTTCGCGCATAGCGCACCTTGGGAGTCGGCGAGAGGTATCGTCGCAGCCTGGACGACACACGGCAGGAGACCGACGACGAGCGCCGCGAAACACGGAAGGACACATGCAAAAATCCGCGACCGCGAGCGAGCCGTTCTTGCACAGCCCATTGCGGCAACGGAGGCGAGACAATGCTTCCCAGGCAATCATGCTGGTGGCCAAAAGGCGGCGCTGATATATGTAACAGCTGGATATTTGGTGAGGCCGTGGTGCAGTGCGGTGGATGGGCAGTGATGTGCAGTGGTTCGTGTCGTGTGATAGACGAAAGCAAGCAGCCATACAGAGCAGGTAGGTGCGTGCGAGTGGGATGCGTGGGACAGGAATTTGGGACTTTCAAAAACTTGACCTCCCTGCATTCGCACCTTGCAAGGCAACTTGGCAGTCACCTCAGATTTTGTCGCGTACCGCCAACTGTACAGTTTTGAAAACTAAGACACATTCTCGATGCAGGGAAACGCGGGAAGCAGTGTTGTCAGGTGGTGTGTTACTCTGTATCTAATTACCATATTAAATTGCTTATACGGTAGTGTGTTCGACGTGAACGTCGACATCCCTCAACAAAATGAGGACGGAGGGGGGAATGGAGGTGACATCTGCCTTGTTCTTCCTCCTCCCTTCTTCCCCTTTCCCATGTTCGCTTTTGTCCCCCACCCCTCCCTCCGTACCCCCAACAGGCGGGTCTTGCTCGAGTGTCCGTCTCGTTCCCCCCATGTGACTGGCTGGCATTGACGCGCTGTGCACTGCCATCAAGGCACTCACGCTCACACTGCAAGTGAGGAGAGTGAGCATTCAGGAAAGACATGCGTGCCCATGTGTGTGCGATATCCTCCCTACCCCCTAGACTTCGCGTTTTGCACCATGGACCTGACAGGTGTATGGGATGCAATGCTGGGCCGTCCCATTGCCACACCATGCTAGTGTATGCAGCAAGGTCTTCTCTTGTATCAAACGTGCTGTTCCACCTGCGGCCCACTTCAAATGCCCTGCCCTCTGCTCCCTGCATCCTCATGGCCCATGCGCTGGTAACTGAAGGTGCTGCTGTGCTGGTAACTGAAGGTTCGAGACAGGCACCAGATCTACTGAGCTGCATGCTGTGCTGTTCATTGTGTGAACCGCTGAGTCTTGTGGGGGGGGAAGATGGTGAGATCTATGCGCTACAGCTTGCTTCTTGCTCATTGTAAATGAAATAATAGGTTGGCAGTCTGGTGTGCTGGTTTGTCTGGGCAGGTGGATAGAAGCTGCAGCAGGAGTAGGCAAGCGACAGCGGGAGAGCCTGAACAGGGCAGATCATACCCCCTTTACATGTGGACAGCGGGGGAGGAGGTTGGAAGGGAAGGGGGTTGCGGCAGCAGGGGGTCGAGGAGAGGAGAGATGTCACCCGCTGTTACCTGCTGCTGGGCCTGCATGTGGGGGTAGAGGGGGAAGGAGAGGTGGGAAAGGGTAAGGGGGAGTGGGAAGAGGGAGAGGTGGGCCATGCGATGCCCTGCCATGCCATGTCACACCTTGCCATACCCGCCTTGCCCTGCCATGCCATGCCATGCCACACCATGCCATGCCACACAATGCCATGCCACACCATGCCATGCCACACCTTGCCATGCCACACCATGCCATGCCGCACCTTTCCAAGCCACACCATGCCATGCCACACCTTGCCATGCCACACCATGCCATGCCACACCATGCCATGCCACACCTTGCCATGCCACACCTTGCCATGCCACAGCATGCCATGCCACACCTTGCCATGCCACACCATGCCATGCCACACCTTGCCATGCCACACCATGCCATGCCACACCATGCCATGCCACACCTTGCCATGCCACACCATGCCATGCCACACCATGCCATGCCACACCTTGCCATGCCACACCTTGCCATGCCACACCATGCCATGCCACACCTTGCCATGCCACACCATGCCATGCCACACCAAGCCATGCCACACCTTGCCATGCCACACCATGCCATGCCACACCTTGCCATGCCACACCTTGCCATGCCACACCTTGCCATGCCACACCATGCCATGCCACACCTTGCCATGCCACACCATGCCATGCCACACCTTGCCATGCCACACCATGCCATGCCACACCTTGCCATGCCACACCTTGCCATGCCACACCTTGCCATGCCACACCTTGCCATGCCACACCTTGCCATGCCACACCATGCCATGCCACACCATGCCATGCCACACCTTGCCATGCCACACCATGCCATGCCACACCTTGCCATGCCACACCATGCCATGCCACACCTTGCCATGCCACACCTTGCCATGCCACACCTTGCCATGCCACACCATGCCATGCCACACCTTGCCATGCCACAACTTGCCATGCCACACCATGCCATGCCACACCTTGCCATGCCACACCATGCCATGCCACACCTTGCCATGCCACACCATGCCATGCCACACCATGCCATGCCACACCTTGCCATGCCACACCTTGCCATGCCACACCTTGCCATGCCACACCATGCCATGCCACACCTTGCCATGCCACACCATGCCATGCCACACCTTGCCATGCCACACCTTGCCATGCCACACCATGCCATGCCACACCTTGCCATGCCACACCTTGCCATGCCACACCTTGCCATGCCACACCATGCCATGCCACACCTTGCCATGCCACACCATGCCATGCCACACCTTGCCATGCCACACCATGCCATGCCACACCTTGCCATGCCACACCATGCCATGCCACACCTTGCCATGCAACACCATGCCATGCCACACCTTGCCATGCCACACCTTGCCATGCCACACCATGCCATGCCACACCATGCCATGCCACACCATGCCATGCCACACCTTGCCATGCCACACCTTGCCATGCCACACCTTGCCATGCCACACCTTGCCATGCCACACCATGCCATGCCACACCTTGCCATGCCACACCATGCCATGCCACACCTTGCCATGCCACACCATGCCATGCCACACCTTGCCATGCCACACCATGCCATGCCACACCTTGCCATCCCACACCATGCCATGCCACACCTTGCCATGCCACACCATGCCATGCCACACCATGCCATGCCACACCTTGCCATGCAACACCATGCCATGCAACACCTTGCCATGCCACACCATGCCATGCCACACCTTGCCATGCCACACCTTGCCATGCCACACCATGCCATGCCACACCTTGCCATGCCACACCTTGCCATGCCACACCTTGCCATGCCACACCATGCCATGCCACACCTTGCCATGCCACACCATGCCATGCCACACCTTGCCATGCCACACCATGCCATGCCACACCTTGCCATGCCACACCTTGCCATGCCACACCATGCCATGCCACACCTTGCCATGCCACACCATGCCATGCCACACCTTGCCATGCCACACCATGCCATGCCACACCATGCCATGCCACACCTTGCCATGCCACACCATGCCATGCCACACCTTGCCATGCCACACCATGCCATGCCACACCATGCCATGCCACACCTTGCCATGCCACACCATGCCATGCCACACCTTGCCATGCCACACCATGCCATGCCACACCTTGCCATGCCACACCATGCCATGCCACACCTTGCCATGCCACACCTTGCCATGCCTTTCCTTGCCATGCCACACCTTGCCATGCCATGCCTTGCCATGCCACACCTTGCCATGCCACACCATGCCATGCCACACCTTGCCATGCCACACCATGCCATGCCACATGCCATGCCACACCTTGCCATGCCACACCTTGCCATGCCACACCTTGCCATGCCATGCCTTGCCATGCCACACCTTGCCATGCCACACCATGCCATGCCACACCTTGCCATGCCACACCATGCCATGCCACACCTTGCCCTGCCACACCTTGCCATGCCACACCTTGCCATGCCACACCTTGCCATGCCACACCTTGCCATGCCACACCATGCCATGCCACACCATGCCATGCCACACCTTGCCATGCCACACCTTGCCATTGTCAACATATATTTTATATGTGTTGTTTAGGTTAGTCTAGGTGTTACGTTTCTACTTACTTGCATGATTAGGGTTTGCTATATCTAGGGTTGTACTTCACATTTTCTATCAATTCATTCTTATCGTAACATGGTATAGAGCTAGGTTTCCCTTAGGCGATTTTTCCCCTAGGCGATTTTTTTCCCTTAGGCGAAATTTCTCTCGATAGTCTATGGGCCCACCACCCGCGCGCCTCGTAGCGACCCATAGCCCGAAGCGCCCTGCCCCGTAGAGCCCGAGTAGGTCGCGCCCCCCCGTCGACATCGCGCGTCACCCGTTTCTGCCCTGCGCCCCACCCGTTTTTGCCGTGCGTCACTCGTTTTCTGCCCCGCGCCCCACTCGTTTTACCCCGCGCGTTTCCCCCCAGCCCTCTAGCGCGCAGCAGACGAACGCGCGTAGCTGCGCGCGCAGCCTTAGTCGCACCCGCAGCTTCGCGCTAGTACGTCGCGGCCGCGCGCACGTGCAGCCCACCGTCTTAACCGCCCCCCAGACCTGAAAACCCGCCATTACAGACCTGAAAACCGCCGCCGAACTTGGAAACCCGCCGCCCCAGACCTGAAAACCGCCGCCCCAGACCTGACAACCGCCGCCCCACCTGGAAACCTGCTGCCCCACCCGTTCCAGGCACCTCACCCGGGATCAGCCGCCCCACCCAGTCCTCTCCACCGCATTGAACCGCACAGAACTGCACATAACTGCACAGAACCGCACAGAACCGCCGCCTTAACAGCTTCCCCACCTGAAAACCACCGCCCCAGACCTGACAACCGCCGCCCCACCTGGAAACCTGCTGCCCCACCCGTTCCAGGCACCTCACCCGGAATCAGCTGCCCCACCCAGTCCTCTCCACCGCATTGAACCTCACAGAACCGCACAGTACTGCACATAACCGCACAGAACTGCACAGAACCGCCGCCTCACCCGTAGCCCGCTGCCTTAACAGCTTCCCCACCTGAAACCTGCCTCCCCACGACCTACCACACCCGCCGTCAGTAGCCCCAGCCGATTACACTGCCGCCAGCTACACCAGCAGCAGCATAGGCTGCCCCCAGCGCACCAGCAGCAACGTAGGCTGCCCCCAGCAGAACCAGCAGAACCAGCAGAACCAGCAGAACCAGCAGAACCAGCAGAACCAGCAGAACCAGCAGAACCAGCAGAACCAGCAGAACCAGCAAAACCAGCAGAACCAGCAGAACCAGCAGAACCAGCAGAACCAGCAAAACCAGCAGAACCAGCAGAACCAGCAGAACCAGCAGAACCAGCAGAACCAGCAGAACCAGCAGCGAACCAGCAGCAGCATAGGCTGCCCCCAGCGCACCAGCAGCAGCTTAGGCAACTGCCTGCGCACTAGCAGCAGCATTGGCTGCCCCCTGGAGAACCAGTAGCAGCCTAGGCTGCCTCTCAGCAGAACCAGAAGCAGCACAGGCTGCCCCCAGCGCACCAGCAGCAGCTTAGGCTGCCCTCAGCAGAACCAGTAGCAGCATAGGCTCACATGGCATGTACTAGGGTTGTACAGCAGCAGGGCCAGCCGCAGCACTCCCGTCAGTTGGGGCCTGCGGGTCCAAAGTGTGGCGCCCCCAGCAGTGGCTCAGCTAGCAGTGGGCGAGACGTCGGCCCCTGCGGGTACCGGGCCCTGACAGGCCCTGGTGCTGGCACTACCTGCTGGAGTCCTGACCACACTGCGTCCAGC